AGCAGGCGTCTTTTCCTCCTCCTTGCTATCTTCTGGGAGATTTTCCTTTTCACGCTACCCTTTTTGTGGTGAAATGGTGGAACAGTAATCTGGGAGACAGTTTTGGAGACTAAGAAATAAACATTCAGTAACCTGGAGTTTGGTCAAAGCCAATCTGTTAAATTTCGGATTATATTAGTGACTAGGTAAAAACTGGATTAGTGAAAGTATTAACTAGAAACCCCAGCTTTTCTAAAGTGCCACTCAGGTATCACAGATTCATTCTTTGTGGAAACAAGGGTGGGCAGTGCAGTAAATCTCAGATAGTTGAGGTGCATAGGAGGCAGGTAGAGACCATAGGAAGGAGCGGTTCTCTTCCCCATTTACAATCCCTTCTAGACCAGACTGTTCTTATCTGTCAGCTGGGGCAGTAAGTACCTTGGCCTCAGCCTTATGGAAGTAATGTTGGCATGCACAGTTATCTAAAGGAGTGGCTTGGAATCCTGAGGAATTTGCCTTGCTGCAGACCTAATTCATAAGAATCCAAGTTTAATGCTAATTGGACTTTTATCAGCTCCTCAAACCTTGGCTGAATAGAATCCCATCTTCAGAGACAGCATCACAACTATCCTCAGGAGCTCAACATACAACATTGAAAATTGGGGTCACATCTTGACAGGAGATGGCCATTTTTATCTGCTCTTATTTCTGGGGTGGTTGGTAGAGGACATGCTATACCATAGTACCTTGGCTCATGAACTTAATTCTTTCCACAATTCTGGTTACAAACTGAATTGGAGAAGAGCTGAATGAAATTCAACGGTTAGGTTCCATATTGACTATATAGGGAAATTTTATTTGGTTCTTGTCCAACTCTGTTTGCAACCAGAATCATGGAAAGAATTTGATAAGATTGTGGCGCATCCAAAAGATGAGAAGTATAAAACAAAAGAGGCCTGTATTCTGAGAACACTGAGAGAGAAAAACAAACACCCCCACCACCAGCACCACCACCACTGGAGTCTGCCTTTTTCTCTGGCAGACAGGCGGTGTGGGGGGCATATATGTAGCTTAGGTTTGGGGTGGTGCCTATGGGGTATTAGGGATGCACAGGTAGCCCATTGGTATTCATTTCGTGCCAGAGGCAAATTCCTAAGGGTGGGGAAGATAGAGCCACAGGTAAATTTCTAGGGGTGGGAAAGATAAAGTTCCTTGGTTCCGCCTCTAAGGCTTTACCGGCTACAGTGTCCTGTCTGGGCCAAAATCTTTTCAGAATGAAGTTTGAGAACCGAAGTACCTCTATACCTTCAAGAATGTTCCCTTTAAAAACCTGTAAGCCATATCTGTCTTGCTGCCATTAACCAGCGGGACACCCAATACTATTCAGGAATCCACCAGGGCCTTAGGATTTTAGGAGAAGAAGCTGGTAAACTCTGACATTCCTGTCTTCTGCCCTTTCCCCACTTCACAGATGTGGAAATGGAGGTTTGTAAGGTCTTCCTGATTTGGGGAAGCCTGAAGTTGAATTTTCCTAGAACACACCAGGAAATCCGAGTGTGTGCCTCAATCTCTCTTGTCTGGTTGTATCTCACCTTTTTCTTTGAGAAGTTACAGCTGTCACCTTCCACACTGCCACTTTTTCCCTAGGCCTGAGTAGGTCAATGATTTGCAAATTGGAGTCTTTGTCTCCCTGTGAGGGCAAATGGGAAATGGCTAAGCTCAACAGAGAATGATCAGAGCTTGCAGAGGCAAACCAAGTGTCTAGAAGTATAAGAGCCCCAGTCAGTGTGGGTTTCTCCTGACCTGCGCAATTAAGTCTTACTTAGGCAAATGAGTTTAATTTCCTGTGATTTCATTCCACAAGTACAAGTCCATAGTTTATTTTAAAAATTAAAACATTACTTTCTTCTTTAGTGCAAAAGTTACAGCAAATAAATAAATAAATAAAAATGAAAAGTAAACCAAAATAAGCAAAGCAAGGAAAAACACTAACCATAATTTCCATTCCCTAAAATAAATGTTTTTGAGGTTGAGGATTTAGCTCCGTAGTATGGGGCTTGTCTAGTGAACATGAGGACTTGGGTTCACTTCTTATACAAACAATTTTTTAAAAAATTATTTTTAAAGATTGTGAAATGAAATGATTGTAGGTCACTACAAATGCCCCTAAAAAGTTTCTATTTAGTTTTTGATCATTGGAAATAAAACAAGTTAAACCTGATATGATCTTATTTGTTTAGACTTCAAACTTGGAATTTCTGATCAAAGATGGATATATTGTTAAAGTTTGAGGAATGTAATTGAAAGATTGAAAAACTGAAAAATTGCAATAAATAAGACTGCTATTAGCAGTGCAAATCTGTTTCTTGCATGTTAACTAACATCAAGCATCATGGATATTATCCTCTGGTTTTGACCATACTTATTTGTATGCATTTTGGAGCACAAAATATTTATGATTAGTATAAATTTGTATGCTTAATGGCCCAACGTTATGCTGGGTATGAGGCTTCAAAGATAGACTTGGCCTCAAAGATTCTCAGGAGAAAGGCAATTTGAATGCACAAAGAATCAACCATTACGCAGAGTGGGAATAGGTGTGCAATAATTTAGTTTTGACATTATTGTTTGTGCAACGACAAATCCATTAACAGCTCTCATTTAGTGAGGTTAAATCTGATCAGGTTCCTACAAGTGCTGCATGAGGCAGTATGCTAGTAATGTAATCTTGCAATATCTTTGCAGTATCATTCTGAGAAGGAGGTATTATGCTTATTATGAAATTGAGGAAACTGAGGCCGAGATTTAACTGACCAATCAGAGACTGTATAGCACAACCTGATATAATCCAAAAAGATCCATTGAATTCTGTATTAGAGAAAGTAATCTTTGGATTCAGGGTTTTTGTTTTTAATTTTATTTTAAAGAGGATAAAACAGAATAAAACCAATCAAAGCAAACCAATGTAAGAGATACAGGACTTTAAAACATTATGAAATCAGCAATAGCTATTGTAATTCCTTTGGATGTCTTCAAAATAGCTGTACATAACTTTAGACATAGAAAAAATCAAACAGAACAGAACAGAATAGAAACAATAAAAACAAGGCAATGAATGCAATACAGGATTTCAAAACAAGCCCATAGTAAATCCAAAATTACTGTCATAATATATCTTGCCATCCTTGAAATAGCTTCACCTGCCATCGGATTTAACATAACCAAGCAAAACAAAAGAGAGTAAAACCCAACCCAACAAAAAAATTGAAATGATATAGGACCTTAACACAAGACTGCAGGGAATCAACAATGGCTGTAACCTTCAGAGATCCCCCCTAAATGTCACACTGTGTATCAATATCCTCTGAATTTGTGATCAGACCACTGGCCCTACACCTGTCATGTTAGTGAAACTCTAAAGCACCACAGGAATCCAATTGCATTTCACTTCCATAGCTATCACCACAGCCTATGTTTCTCTGGTTAAGCTGGTTGCTTGGAGCGGGTGGGGGATTGGTGCTTCTTGTTTGCCAGCTCGTGCACTGGAACAGGCTCGGGTCTAACTGTTCCCAGTCTGGTGGTGGCCTGCACATGGTGCTGGTTCTCAGACTGAACTTGTTTGCTGGTGCAACATTGTTCTCTCTCTCCCCCGACTCTGTGAATGGCCTGGACGCAGGGTTTTGCAAATTGACTTACCTAGGGAAGCTGCAGCTCAAGGAAGAAGCAGTTACAGTGAATTTGACCTAGAGAAAAGTAACCTCCATACTCTATCGATTTAGAACTGTCCCTCTGAGATAGGCCAGAACTAAGGATCTTTAATTCTGTTTGAGTGTCTATTAGTTATTCTTTTCCTCTCACTTAAGACAGAGTTTCTCAAAATTAGTGCATAGTGCATTTAGGGATATATGAAGACAGACTCAAGGCAGATTTCCAGCACAATCTCAAAATATTCTAGTTCAGAAGGCTGCAGTGAGGCCTTGGAATCTGTATTTCTAATTCTAGGAGAGACTACTATAGATCAAGTCTTGAGAATCACAGAAAATACATCGTGCTAAAATACCTAGTCCTGACACAAATGTGAGATGCCAACCTCTTTATTGCTAGACAGATCCATAAAAAAGCCCATGACAAATGGCATGGCAATTGACAAATGAATGCCATGGCAATTCAGCCCTGTAATGCCTGGGGTTAGCACTGATTTTTGGAGAGTGCCACCATCCCTGTGATCCATCAGGAAATGAAGAGCTGTCCCTGATCCACGAAGATGGAATGTTACTACTCATTCACGAGTAGGCAATTCATGGTGTCCTAAACCCAGACAAGGGAAATAAACCATGCTTGGCTATGAATAAATATTTTCACAGTCATTAGCACACTCATTTTAGGAAAAGTTCCTGTAAAGTAGATTCAGTAAGTGATAATAATTGTCATTATTACTGTCACACTCTCCGTCACTGTTAACCATCATCGTCAATATCACCACCACCACCATCATTATCAAATCATCAATGGAATGACCTTCTGAGTAGATATTTTACCTCGATCTGGACTTGTATGAGCTCTTTCAATCCTCACTCAACATACCGTTTTAAGGAAGACTTTTTTACAGTTTATCTCCAGTTTTACAGAGAAGAAGTTGTATATCTGAGGTTGCACAAGTAAGACTTGGTGCAGTCAGAATTCTAGCCCAGGTCATCTGACAACATTTGAGTGGCTTCCATGACTCTGACTTTACTGGGAGAGAGAGGGGTCATAGTGACTTGCCCAGGAACATGAGGATGGTGAATGGAGTCACCGGATCAATAATCAGGGCCTTGATGATTCCTGGCTCTGCCTTTTTCTGTAAGTCTGCTGCTTCTGGATCATGTTAAGACAAACTCAGGAAAAAAGACTTTCAGTTAATTAGTGGCACTGAATAGAAAGCAAGTTTTGGTCCTCAGAGAACTGCTCGCTGTCCCATAAGTTCCTGGCAAGAGTGGTCAGGAGACTGAGCCTCTCAGTGTTCTGCATACGATGCCATCATGGCCCCCAGGATAGGTCCTAAGGCCCCTCTAGAATCAAGGCTCTGTTGGGGGACTGAATGCCACGCAGATCACACAACACTGGTGCTGATCCTGTTTGCCACTATACTGGTGACTTGGCTTGAAGCTGCTAAGCTCACTGTGGGCTTCCACGCTCCCTGGAACATCTCCTACCCATTCAGTGTGCAGCGGCTGGGGCAGGCCTCCAGATTGCCATGGACAAGGTCAGTGCAAAGCCAGTGGGACTTGGAAACTTCACCTGGGAGTTCACTTTTACCAGCTTGGTCTGTAGCATCAAGGAGTCTCTTGCTGATTTCATCAACCAGGTCCAGAAAGAACAGATTTCTGCCCTGTTTGGGCCAGCATGCCCAGAAGCAGCAGAGGTACAGTATCCAGCCTTTTAAAAAATGGCAGCTGAGTTTTCATTGGAAGAGAGAGTCTTGAAGTTGATAGTAAATTTTTGAATAATCTTCTGACAAAAATCATATTGGTAACCATAACTGTATAAGTCTTGGGTACCATTTTTTAGATGTAGTTATACCATTTTGTTGGAACACTTAACATTTTCTTTAAAGAAAATCTTTCAAATAAAAACTGTTCATTCATGTCCTTTCTTCATCCTCTAGTTGATTGTGTGAACTTGGCGCTTCGGTGTAGAGACTGTTACTGTTTACTCTTAGGTTGAAGGCATTATGGCTCAGGAAAATTACGATGAAAACGAGTAAGTAGTTTTAAATATAAAACTGTTGATTGAGGAGATTTTCCTTTGGCATATATAATAAATTATTCAGCAACCGTGAAAGAAAATGAGAAAGAATAAAGTATGATGGATCGCTTTAAGCTAGAGCCGGAGAATGAAGGACATGTGTGATTTAGATTTGTCTGGGCAGTGAGACCCGCTTTGTCGATGTCCTTAGGTATCACAGCTTCTGGGAGATGGTGCAGCCAAGGGGGAGTAGGGGAGTGAGGAAGTAGGTAGCAGCGTCACAGGTCTCACTGCCCAAACACTGCCGATTATCATTAGTCGGTGCTGTAAAATTTAGTTCACATTTGCATTTTAATCTGAATCTTGGTCGGTTTTAGAAATATGCTATCTGGCATCTTTCTGTCCAAAGCATAATACTTCTTCAATGTCAACCTCCCTTCGCATCCCTAATTCCTCAGTTAAAAGTAAGTTGCTAGCTCTCTAAACACCTTGCATAAATCCTACAAGTTATTTTAATTCTAGGGTATTTTTATATATCTGTTCCCATTGGCCATAAGCTTCTTAAAGAGCAAGGTTTCTAAAGTTCTTTCAAAGTGTAAGAGGCCAATGAAAAATGTGTAACACTTGCGTTCCAATACTGCTCTCTTGCTCATTAGCTATGTATCTTACATCTTCGTGTCCCTATGTTGTCATTTTTAAAGTGAGACTAATGATAATAATTACCTCATAGAAATCTTATAAAAGTTGAAATATATAGGCTCTTAGTAGATTGCTTAGCACATTGCAAGTACTCCATAAATTCTTGCCTTTGCTATCCTTGTCCTCTAAGGTCTTGTTTCTGCAAATTGGATTCAACACAGTATCATTCTTTACAAAAAAAAAATACCTTTCTTTTTTCAGTACTGGGAATTGAACTCAGGTCCTTGCGCTTGCCAGACAAGCACTTATGCCGCTGAGCTATATCCCTAGCCTAAGACATACTTTCCAGGTTAGTGCTTTGCTGGCCTCTGAGTGGAACATCCCCATGTTTGACTTTGTTGGATAAATGGCGATACTGGAAAACCACTTCTTGTATGATACCTGTGTGACACTTGTGCCACCCAAGCAGGAAATTGGCGATGCCTGCAGAAAAGTCTCCAGTACCTGGCTGGAAACACATGTTTGGAAGCTACTATAGGGCTTCCTCTTGGGATGGATTGGATAAGCTATGGAGGATTGTAGAGGAAGAAATTCAGTCCCATTTCATCATCGCTGCCAGCAAGAGATACAACAGTCATGACTCAGCCCTCCTCCAGGAGGGCCTCAGAAACATGTCTTCACTAGCCAGGGGTAAGTGGCAAAGTTTTCCAGGGCTCATGATTGGGGAGACAAATAGGACAAGCAGATGGTTTGAAAAGCAAACAAACAAAATGAGAATTCCTAATTTTTCTAAGAGTACAAAAATCCAGTAGAAACAGAGTATAAAATAAGTGATACATAAAAGCAATTTCATAGTTACCCCCATTTTTTTTTTTTTTGGCTTAAAGTGAAGTGTCAGATGCTATAATGCCATGATATAGAGAACAATTCTAGAGGCATATTCCAGGAGACCAGGTCCCTGCCTTTGGTGGCTGTTCAGAGTATGGGCCCTGAAGACAGACTCACTTGGATTTGATTTCAGCCCCTGAGCCATTCCAGCTGTGTGCTCCTGGCCCAAAACTTCAACCTCGCTGTTCCTGAGATACCTTACCTCATCCTAGCTCCTTCATATGAAGGTGAGGGTTAAACTAAGGTCATGCATGGAAAGTGCTTAGCCTGTGTGGACAAGTAATTTGTCAGCAGATGGCAGTGATGGTTTCCATGGTGGCGCTGCTTAGAAGGCTCTCTTTCTTAGTCACTGACTGAGCTTAGTTCAAATAAACTAAGCTCTTTATGGCCCTGGAACTCTAGGACTTGCTGATCACTCATCCTAGAGTGCCATCAGCAGCTACAGCCACCCAGCACTCTCCTTGGTCTCCAGATGCACTTTCTTTAGTTGCTGTGATGCTGTTCCCCTCCCCCTTTAGAACACAGTATCTGCTCCCTGGCTACCAAGAGAGCCTTAAATGAGCACTTTGGTCTTTCTATTTGTCTCTCTGTGGTTCCTCAGGCCTTTTGGCTTTGCTCCTGCTGTAGCCTAGCACAGTGCCTAACACATGGTTAGCACTCAGATAAGTAGCTTATTACTTACCTAATCTAAAAAATAAATTGTGATTTCAACTGTGTGTCCTCAAGGTGAATGATGTGGTGACTGAATGGTAGAGTAATATCACAGCTACTTCCCAGCTCAGAAAGTCTGGGGCCTTGACTTGAAATACTCCATGAGCCCTTCCTAACTGATGCACAGGTGACGAATCACAAAACAGGCCTAGTTGTTAGCTTTTTAAAATTTACTTTTATCTGTGCATGTTTGCAATATATGATGTTTACACTCCTTGTGTGGAGTTGGTATGTGTACATAGCAGATCTTAATTCCTTGTTTCACTCTCCTTTCCCTCCTCTCCATCCTTCTCATCTCTTGATCCTTCTCTCTCTTAAGAAAGATCTCTCTATCATTCTGCTTTCTTTGAGGAGTTAAATGAAAGAAAATAATGCACAGAAGTGACCTCAAACTTTTTGAGGTGGCAGGGGGCAGGGGTTGCCAAGAAAATTTCAATTTCTATAGAGCAAAAGCTGTCACAGCAAAAGCTGTTTGTATACTGTGGGCTTGGTTTAAGAAATAAACACTCTAGGAGTCATTTACATATTTCTATTTTTTGAAGCATATTCATAAAAAGAAACAGTTTGTATCTTGTTTGAAGCGACTTTAGGCTTTATTTTAGACAGCGTGTCCACCCATGCTTGCATGTGTAACTGGCTGGCTCTTTTCCCCTCCTATAAGTATCATCTTAATCTACAGCTCAGAGAATGCACAGGTTATTCTGCTGGATGCAGAGAACCTGAGACTCAACACTGGAGAATTTGTCTTCATTGTTTTGCAGCAGCTGGATGTGGGTGTTAACTACCACTCAGAGGCTCTGGTAAAAAAGATGGTGAGTGTAGAATGCTTGTCATGTACCAAGATATAGTGCACTGAATGTGCTTTATAAACCTCAGCGGTAGTCCCCTTTGAGCCTTCATTTTAAAATCAGCAGACTAACACTGAGCTGAAAGAATGTATCCAGAATTCCCTTACAGAGTTAGTGAGAGGCTAACCAGGCCTCCAATGAGATCTACAGGCTCTGGAGACTATATTCTGAACTCTAAATCAGCGGACTCCTGCTGGGGAAAACCTATAATTTCTAAAGGCAGATAACATCTTTTCATAGGACTCTCAGACACATGTGGCTCTTGCTTTTCTTCTACAGACACTTTCCTGTGTCTCTGCTAAGTAAAGCTCTAATGAAAGCCTGGAGAGGGAAGCAAACTGATCCAAGAACCAAGTACTCAACATTCACAATTTAAAGGAGAGATTTATTTTGGGTCTCAGTTTCAGAGAGTTCAGTCCATGGTTGGCCAACTCTGAGGCAGACAGAAAGTCAGAGGAGGGGAGAATAAGAGGAGGGGGAGGAAGACAAGGAGAAGGAAGAGGAGGAGGAAAAGGAAGAGGAGGAGGAGGAGGAAGAGGAAGAGGAGGAGGAGGAGGAGGAGGAGGAGGAGGAGGAGGAGGAGGAGGAGGAGGAGGAGGAGAATATACCCTGTCAGGTCATGGCTCCAATGACCTATCACTCCAAATAGGTCCAATCTTCCAACAGCACATGAATTACTGAATTTAGCAATGGATGAATCCACTGATAAGCTAATCGTCTTCCAAACATATGAGACTTTGAGAGGACATTTTACACTTAAACTATAATAGATATTTGTAGGTAGCTTGGCTTTTTGGCAATGGCTAAGGTACTGCGTGCTTCCTACAGGTACTGAGTTCCACATTTCACACATATTGTTGGACTTGAGAGCCCAGTGGCCTGTGAGGCAGATAGATGTTACATACATTCTTGCACTTAATATTTCCAACAGCTTGGAAGATAGATATGATGAACATGCCAGCTTCCAAGTAGAAAAGCCAAGGCTTGGCCAAGTAAAGAACCTTATCTAAGATCGCAGTACTCCTGAATTGTGTAGCTGGTGTTCCAAACTGGGGCTTTTGATCTTTACCCTACCCCGCCCTGCCTTACAGAATGCTTATGAGGTGCTAGCCCCATTGTGAGTGCTTGCTGTATTAAAACTGATTTCCAATCATAACCACTCCATGGGGTATGTATGTACTGAAGAAGAGGAAACCAAGGCCCATGAAGCTTCTAGAACTTGCCCTAGTTCTAGGGTATACAACTTGCATGAGGGAGAGCAAGTATTGTAACCCATGCAGACTCGCCTCAGTGTCTGCTTGTAGGTACATCATCCTGTAGACATCCAAACAAGCCATTTGCCTTGAACTAAGGACACATTGTATAATCCCCAAAGCTTTAGCTTTCTAAAATGAGCATGTTATGGTGTCCACAACACCATAGCCTCGGAGGAGCAGGTCTGAGGGGCGCCGTGCGGAAGCCCCAGCTTCCGTTCTTTGGCTGTATTTGTATTTGGCTTTTACACTTTTCTTCCTTTTGCCCTTTCTTTTCTCCCACCCCCTAACAAAAACACACACACGCACACACACTTCCTCATTTTCAAGGCCCCAAATAAATGTTGGCTTGATGCTTTCCTGTGAAAGCTACAGCCCACAACCACAGAGGAGGACAAAAGTTGTCAGATGAAAGGCCATTGACCTTTGGGGTCAGATCCCTGGGCTGTCAGCCTACTTCTGCTATTCAGTAACTGTAGGAGTTTGGAGTGAACTAATTAACTTCCCTGTACCTCTGTTTCTTCATCTGTAAAATGGGGCTGCTAATGTTATCAGCCTCCCAGACTGCACTCCTAAGTATTTAATAAGACGCCATGGGAAAGAGTCCAACAGATAGCAGTGGGTACTCAGATCATGTCTGTTGCCCTTGCCTGGAAGATGCCTGGGTAGAGAGCTATGATGCAGCAGTCACAGATATGAGGTGAGGACAGCCAAGCCCAGCAGAGGGTCCTGGTTTGGGGGAGACAGTCAGGAGAGCGTATCAGGCCATAGGAATCTGAGCACATGTGAATGATGCGGTAAAGTGGTTCCCACAGGGAGTTTTTCAGGGAGAACGGTGGGCAGAGTCAGAGCTACTTTCAGTAAAGGGTCCAGCTGAGATCTGGGCTTGATTAGGAATGAGACGCTGATTGTGACCCTAACATACAAGATGCGATGGTCAGTCAGTGATGATGTGGGGAACAGTCTGCTGAATATCAGCTCTGCTCCAGCTGCTGTGGGAGAACAGTGCTTAGCACTTGTAGGCACTTGTATTTTCATTGGCTAAACCAGTGAATGACATGTATTGAAGAGCTCCTACGGGTCACAGGCACTGCGGGGTACTTTACCTAGTTTGCCTCACATAGCTGTCTTCATGTTTCAGAAGAGTGATTTTTATCCTGTTTTATAATCAGAGAGGTTACAGAACTTACTTTAGGGTCAGATCCAGGAAGTGGTTGGTAGAGCCAGCCTGGCTCCAAACTCTTCCTCTTTCATGTAAACCATGCTCTTTGCTGACCATGGCTTGCAGAGCCATTTGTGAGCTGACAGAGCACGATATCTAAATGGGAAACTGAGGCGTGGGAGGAGAGGTAGCGATGGTGACAGCCAGCCTTAGTAGCGCAGACGCAAGCCCAGGTCCAGGCCCAGGCCCAAGGTGGCCTCCCTGCTCTGTGGTCTGGAAGAAGAACATTGGCCTGCCCCCCTGCTCACAGGGACTCCGAATCGCATGACGGAGGCTTGGGTCACCCTTTCCAAGGTGAGCCCCTACTCTGTCTACCTACACGAATGTCCTGCTCTAAGCTGGGACTATGGAAGAGATGATAAAGGCCAGGAGAAACTTTCGGGATGGGCAGCAGCTGCTCAGCACCCTGAAAACCAATCGGATCCCACTGAAGGATGAGTGGCTGGACCTGGGGGAGCATCCTGAACTCAGCTGCTGCCCCAGTCCCTGTGGCCTGTGAGATGTAGAATGAGCAATCCCAGGTTTCCTGAAGGGCTTTCCCCCACATCGAGCTACAGAACTCACTTTTCTCAGGCAGGTCCCACTCATGTGTAATTGTGGTTGAGGTTAAAATTCCCCAGCCGCCATCCCCCACTCATCCTATCCCACCCACTGGAGGAGGCTTCTGGGTACCTTACCCCTTTTCCCTGGGGAAGTCTCTCCCACAGCTGGTTTCTAGCTGCAACCATCACAAAGAAAACTTAAGGATTCAAGAGCAGGCTTTGGTGATGCAGGTTCAGGCAGAAGGTGGGGCCAGCTGGAAAGCCCAGGGAGCCCAGGGCTGTGCCTCACCTCTGCCTAGCTTGGCTCTGGAAGGCACTCAGGCATGTGCCCAGGATGGGTGATGGTGCCTCCTCTGCACTGTCAACTGGAACTAGACCTCAGGTCACTGTAACAACAATGCTGGGCACATGGTTGGTGCTTTGTAAATGGTAGTGTTGTGTCCTGTCCTGGCAGGACAATGTGAACAATTACTAGCGAGTGGGGTTGGTGGCATCATAAACAGGAACAAGGAACCTCCTGGCTGGGGACAGAGCATCATGCCCAAGCCGCAGTGCATAAGGCAACCCTGGATGGAAGGGCGCGGCCTGAGAATAAAGCTTGCAAACCTCTGTATCCCTGGGGTCTGACATCTGGAGAGGAGAAACCAGGAAGGCAGGGACTCGTGCAGGCAGCTCCCAGCGACTGTTGCTGAGTGGCTATTGAGCCTCTTACAGTGTGAGGTTTTAAGTAAAATTAACTACAACCTTTTTTTTTTCTGATGATGAGCGGACCTCGGCAACATAGTCTTACCATAATATATCTTCCCTGGGCAGCATGGGCCTTAAGTCCAACCAGAAGCCACTACTAAACTGTCTTCTTCTCTCAGCTGTGCCGCTGGCCTTGGCTCAGGTGCCTTGAGATGGCAAAACCCTCTTACCTGGCACTTGAAGGGAAAATGTTGCATGTTTGGGTCAGGGAAGCAGTGTGTCATTTCTAGCTAAGAGTCAATCAGGCTCTCTCTTTCTCCCTTTGCCTCCTTCTCCCTCCCTTTTCTATTCTTCCCCTTTCCCGCCCCTTCTGAATCTCCTCTTTACAGCAATAACTGGCCCTGTGTTTGTGGACACCCAGGGAGAAAGGCACATGGATTACTCTGTGTATGCCCTACAGAAATCTGGAAATGAATCCCTTTTTCTTCCTTTCCTTCATTATGACAGCTATAAAAAAATCATCAGGTACTGAAGGTCATTTTTACAACTTCAGATCACCCTGCAGGAAAGATGCTGGGAGAAGGGGGGATCAGAGATCCTGCTGGGAGAGGCAGTTTGGGACCCAGGCCCTAGAATCCCCTACAAGGTAGGCTGGTACTCCGTTGAACTCATAAAGTTGGATTTGGGGACTTTAAGGTGTCCTAGATTGTGGCCATTTCAGATTTCAGAGCAGAACTCGGCATCCCTAACTGCACCTCCATGGGGTGAGGCGTGCTGGCCAGTGCTCTCTGGCAGAGCCCTGGTCTCAAGGGTGATGGAGCACAGCGCCCTCTATGGGAATGAGTCAACAGTCAGCAAGACAGCTGACTGCCCAGCCTGACTCCCCAGCCAAGCAGAGACATTAGAACTCTGCTGTCCTGGGTTCCAAGTACACAGGAAACCTTGGTGGGGGGGGGGGGCGCGGAATCTTTGACGTTGTTCTCTCAGATATAAATCTATGGGAAAACAAAGAGTAAACAATACTTGATAAAGCTTACTGCTGCCCTGCCACAAAGTCCCATTGATACTTTCCCTCTCTCTTAGGGAATGTTAATGTACCAAAGCAGGCTAGGCCAGGATCATAGCATCTGCTGTGTCCCCGGTCCTCGTATTGTAGGGAGAGGAATATTTCACCCAAGGGAAAATGTCAAGGCCTGTGAAGTAAGATCAGTCTGTGACAAACATGTTTACAACATCCACAGTAATTGAGAATTGTCACATTATTTTTTAATTTAAAAAGCTGTGATTTAAATCCAAACATTGAGGGAGCTATCACACTCTGCAAAAAACGGTGTTGACTTCCACGAATTAGATTAGCAGAGGCTGAACTGAAAGATTTTAGAGAAGTGTGATCTTTGGACCAGACAGCAGAAGATTGTAAACAACACGTATGTTTCAGTTGTTCCTGTTAAACATAAGCAGAGGTAAATACAGTAAGTCCAGAGGAGGTGACTTTTGTCTCTTCCTTCTTAAAAGACCCTTGAGGAATTTCTCCAGGATTACTTGGCCCCATAGCTTTTTTTCCTGAAAATAGACTCAGACCTGACTGTGGATTTTACAGTGAGCTCTGCAGAACAGAGCCTACTTCACAGGTAAGCATCGCTCTTGGAGAAGGTGGCAGTGGAGAGCTGTCCCGTGCATTGTAGGATGGTGAGAAGTATTCTCAGCACTACCCACCAGATGCCAGAAGCATCCATGTAGCTGTTGTCACGTTTGGTTGTTTCCAAAACATTGCCAAATATGACATTTGCCAAATATCCCTTAAGGGGAAATGTGGCCTTCTTTCCGTGTTAAGAACCTCTAAGGTAGGGAAACATGGTTCCTGAGATTTGAGTCTTAGGCACCTCCTTTCTAATAGACAGGAAAATTGTGGAGGAGAATGTTGTTCAGTGGTTAAGAGCCAAGCCCTGGAATTAGACGAATCATTGCCCGTCAGAGAGCACACAGTAAAGGTATAATGAAAGCAGTCGTGGTTGGAAGTCACCATTATTTCCCTACAGCGGAAGTTTCTATATGTACGGGGAGATGGGTGTGGTTGCAGTGAGAACTAGAGGGATATTCAGGGAGAGATGCCCAGAAGATGCCAAGTCTAAGTGGACCCTGTGTGTCTTACCTGAATCACACCTGGTGTCTTAGTTACTTTTTACTCACTGCTGAGACAAAATACCTGAAGTCCAAAGTTGGGAAAGGAAAGGTTTATTTCTTACAGTTTTTGGAGGTTTCAGTCCATACTCAGTTGGCTCCAAGGCAGGCGGGCATGGCAAGGCCGCAGTTCATGGCGGCTGCAAACAGCAAACAGGAACCAGCAAAGAGAGCAAGACACACCTTCTTCCTGCCATTACATCACATCTTGGCTCCACCCCTTTGAGGGTGTAGCACTGACACCATCAATCCAAGGACTAGACAATGAACCATCACAAGTGCACAATGCAAACTCATGAGGCCTGGGGGCCACAGACATAAACCATGGCACCTGGACAGCCTTTCAGTACCTGCTGTGTTCACTTCTGTTCTTCAGCAAGCCTGAATAGTGACTATCTCTTCTTTCCCTTCCAGGTGTGACACTTGTGATTCTTACTATGGCACTCCTGGTTATCTTGTTGGGGACTCCCATTGTAGGTCTGGATAGAAGGATTCAGTGGGGAAAACTGCAAAGCCAAAATAAAGACTCCTGGTGGCAAATCAAGTATGAGAATATCACTATTCTGTCCAACAACAAGGTGAGGCCACACACAACCCCATAGCCACTTCCCTTGTCACTCCTGTTGACAAGGCCTCTCAGAGATCTCATGAGAACAGGAGGCTGAGTCATGTTAGAAAGGATCGATAGTCTTTAAAGTTCCTGTCAAGTCTGTTACTCTGCAGGTATTTAGTGTCACAAAGCCTGCCCAAGTATTACAGCCTTTCCTGGGAGCAATTCGTTTTTTAAAAAGATTACATGAACTCCAGATGTACACACATGCCTGTAATCCCAGTATGCAGGAGGCTGATACAGGAGGATCACTGGGAGTTCAAGGCAGGTCTCAATTATATGGCAAAAATCCTGTCTCAAAAGAACAGAAAAATTAATTCCTTTAATCCAATGACTGCTATTACAGGGTTAATGTGCACAAGAAATACTTGATAACTTTCACTGTGCAATATGCAAGGTATGAGGACTCCCCATAAATGACATGGCTTCAGAAAGAGATACATGCTCACAGAGATCTCCAGAGTGAGACAGCACCCTGCAAATGGATGGACAAAAGTTGTCTGCATCTTGAAGGCTTCAGAGAAGATGTGTGTCATGGTTTATGTTGGTGGCCCCCAGGCCTCATACATTTTGCATTGTGCATTTGTGATTGGTTCATTGTCTAGGGCTTGGATTGATGGTGTCAGTGCTACACTGGCCTAGGGGTGGAGCCAGATGTGATGTAATGGCAGGAAGAAGGTGTGTTTCACTCTCTCTTGCCTGTTTCCTCCTTGCTGTTTGCAGCTGCCATGAACTGCAGCCCAGCCATGCCACCCTGCCTTGGAGCCAACTGAGAGTGGACTGAAACCTCCAAAAACTGTGAGAAATAAATATTTCCTTTCCCAACTTTGGGCTTCAGGTATTTTGTCTCACTGATGAGTAAAAAGTAACTAAGACAATGTGACACTGGAGGAGTGAGTTCGCTTGTGGGGAGAATGAGAGAAGTCGCATAAGATGTGCCAGGATGTGGGGTACAGAAGGCTAGAAGCCTGACTGGTTCCAGGCCATGGAGTTTTCACTGCACTAAGACCCAGAGGTTGAGGTTCATCAGTCAATTATTTCTGGATGTGCATGGGAAATAGATAGCCTTCTATATAGGGGAAAGAAACTCCCAGCCTACGAGATGTGTGGTACGAATTCATGTTCTCCAAAATTGAACAATGAATTTTAGGAACAATGGAGGTTAAGATCAAAATATATTTATTGAGAGAAAGAAAGCTTCTGTTTGAGAGAGATGGAAGGGGCCCCAAGTAGGTTGCTGAGGACCCTGTCTGTTCTACGGATTTCATACAGCAAAACCCCAAGGTGAGGTGGGTCCAAGGTGGGGAAAAAAATGAGAACTTGCAAGGTGGGCATGAGGTGGGACAGAACTATGGCCAAACAATAAAACTAATTGCTCAAATAAAATTGATTAAGTTGGGGACAAACGGGAAAGCAAGTCGTGAAGCAAGCAGGCCTGTATATAGAGCAGGCTTCCTCTGATAGGGGGTCGGGCTAGTGACTCCTGGCTTCCTCAGGGTAATAGAGACCTACTTAGAATCGATATTTAGCCTTAGGAAGTATGTGGATGCATTTGATTTATCTTTTGTCTTAAATTCTGGCCCACAGTTGGGGGTGTCTGTCTTCCCCACTGTTGCAAGTTATCTGGTCTTCTATGGTGGCTCCTTTGAGGGCCCAGCCTCGTCTGACTGACTATAATATTTCTATCTAACCCAGCTGCCTATAAACTTCCCCTTCCCTCTTCAACCACAGGCAGCTTGAATTTGCCTGGTTAGTACATTAGAGTTCCAGGGAAGAAACTTCTTAAAATATGGGGTTCCTTTGCTTTGAAGATATTCTCCAGATGTTGGGGAGATGCTGGAGATATTCACTGTAGAGCTAATGAGAGATCATTTAGGAAAATGATTCTGAACCCACATCTGGTTCAGTGCCACAGCTGGAACTTGAATCTGGATAGACTGACCTCAGGCCCTTCCCCTTCCCTATCCTGCCAAGGGTGATGTAGGCAGCAGGTAAGCACTCACGCTTTGGGCCAGAAACAGATGCATGGATAAAGCAAACGTGGTGTTTATACACAACGGGGTACTACTCTGCTATAAAGCAGGATAAAATTTGTAGCAAAATGAATGAACCTTGAGACCATAATGTTAAGTGAAATAAATCACACAGTTTAAATATTACATGGTTTCTCCTCTGTAGGAAATCCAAGGTACAAGAAAAGGACAAAATAAATTACCTGTAATAGGAAGTGGATCTTTGTCAGCGGGGAAGGGGATTAAAAGATGAAATGAGGGAGGGAGAGGAGGTGGGTGAATGAAGAATTAAGGTGTCTTTGTACATGTACCAACTCCCCACGAGGGATGTGATCATTGGGTACTGCAAACATGTACTTAAAAAAAAAATAAAATTTGGAGCTCAGCTCTTTATTCATAAAGCACTCAGTCCCTGCGCACCTGGCCATGCTACTGAGGACAATGGAATCCTGTCTCGTTTACAATCACAGAGAGGCACTCTCATGTCTGGGGGTGACCACAGCAGTGTGTCCAGTGGGATGAGTTCTGGGGACTTCTACTACTTCGTTAACAGCCAGCAGGGAGAAGAGCTCCTTTCTGCCCCAATAGGGATTTATCAGGTATTTCTGAGGCCAGCAGGCTGCTGTAGGTCTTATGTATTTCTGGGGCCTCTCACACTTTAATGTGCATATGAATCACTGGGGCTCTTATTAAGAATGTAGAGAAATATATACAAATATTGTGTATCAGTTAGAAAAGTTAAAAACGTCGTAGAAATGTAGACTTTGGGTAAGTGGAGGCTGGAGCCGAGATTCCATGTTTCTAACCAGCTCACAGGTGATTCCTCTGTCAGCTTCTAGATGGGACTCTGCCCCATGTAATAGAACATTCTGTGAAGATGAACGCATCCCAAATCTGCAGTGTCCAACAGGGTAGCCACCAGCCTCGTATGACAGCCACCAGCCTGGGGATGGGATTTAAATTTTATTAATAAAATTTATATCTTATTTAATTTTTATTAATTTAAATGCAAACAGTGTCATGTGGCTAGCGGCTGCCTTCACAGACAGAGCCCTGGAGTATGGGCTGCTCCATCTCTGATCCTTTAATTGCTTGGCTGTGGGAATGTGGGGTAAACAAGGGCAGGTGCCTCATGAAGCAGGGACACGGTTCCTGCCTGTCTCTCCTTCCCTTCCCTTCAGCAACCCAGACTGGAAGGCTGCTGCCAGTGCTCTGAAATCCTTTAGACATTCAAGCCCCTCAGGAAAAGTAGTATTAAAAGAAACCTGTTTTTATTTTTAATTTCTAAATGAAGAGCCTGGAAAATAAAGGCAGAAAGCTCCAAGCAAGGAAAACATTACACATTGCTTTAAATCGGGATCTGGAGCCGAATCATTTCTTATGGAACTCGGTATTTTCCTAAATGTCTTCTTACTTAAGTTTTCAAACTACAAAATCTCCTGGGACATAGCCAAAATCCTTAGTGACCAATTTTCATGCAAAGCTGTCTATTGTGGTCACCTGGCCATCGAGAGGCGGAAGCCAGTGATCACAGCATTGCACTGTCCAGTTAACCTTCACCACTGATTCTCCGTTTCTGGGGCCTGCATGTTTGTGTTCGACACCTGGGTAAGTGACTCAGTCTTCTGACTACCTGGCCCCAGCTTACTTTTAGAAACCCTTTTTCCCCTGGCCTAAATCTTATGCTCATCCAACTGGTCTTGCTGGAGAGGTCATGAGTGTTTCATGTATGTGTCACCCATGCCTTCTCTGTTCTGCCTTGCTCACCCCATGCAGAGCCTTCTTGTCTCTCAGGACTCAAATAAACATTACCTCTTCTGAATCCTTTGCTGAATATCACAGCCATCTGTTCTCCATGGAAATATCAGCGCAGTCCCAAGTCCTTTGCGGTTAAAGTGGCAGGTGTGCGGCTGATGTTTAACTCCTACTGAGGCTTACCTTCTCTCTGGTCCAGGTTCTATCTCTTCTACTTGGTTTTTAACACATTAGTATATTTTTTTGTGGTGAACAATGGACCCTAAAGCAGATTTAAGAGCGAATAACCATGAGAGATGACATTTACTGAAAACTTAATGTTACCAAACATTGTTTCCAATGTGATGTTTTATAAGTGATTTAACACTCATAATAGCTGTAGGGAGCCGTGCGACAGCCCCATTGCTGCCTCTCTGCCTCTCTCTCTCTCCTATGGGCACAATGCGTCTGCCTATATTAACCATAATCCTCTCCTGCTTACGGCACATACCCGGATGTGATGATGACCCTGTTATATTCATCCCCGTAGCCTCTTCCTGTCCCACCAGCCTGCCCTTGGCCTATAAAAGATGTAATCACTTCCGGAATAAACAGGACTTGATCGGACTCTCTCAACTTGCCTCAGTCTCTCTCTCTGTCTCCCCCATGTTTTTATTTAATCCCTGTTTCCCCTCCAGGTACACCCCATGGATTGATATGCAGGCCGGATCAAGTGGTGCCCAGAGTGGGGGCTCCTGGCACAGGGGAGTCAACGAGGGAGCCCTTTGAGAAAGCTGGCTGAAAGTGAAAGCAAATTGAACCAAAGACCACGTTGAGAAGTGAGCAAACTAAATCAAGGATCAAAGCTAAAAGCAAAAGGACATTAAATCAAAGACCAAGGCCTGCACGGACGGCTACCCAACGTCCTGCCCGAGTCACAGTGAGTGAATGGCGACCCCATTCCCTTTCCTGGGTCAAGCATTGAGCGAACACGAATTGTTCATGGGAGGCCTTATAAAGGCATTAAAGACAAGAGGGGTAAGGTTTAGAACAAAAGAATTACTGCAGTATTTTCAATTTATTCATAAGGTTTGCCCTTGGTTCCCCCTAGAGGGTTCTGTAGATACCAAGAGGTGGAAAAGAGTAAGAGATGCTTTAAAAGATTATTATAGGGTTTTCGGTCCGAAAAAGGTTCCGGTGACCACCTTTGCATATTGGAATTTAAGCTCTGAGCTGCTTGCCCAGTGGCATGCAGATCCTCAGATTGAGGAGACAGTCGCACAAGGCCCTCCAAGCTACACAGCCTTATAGCGCCCCTACGATGGCGCCTGCCTCCGGCAAGCCTCGTGGCACTCTAAAATGGTGCTTGCCTCACTTCTGCCACATCAGCATGGGTTCCTCCCCGAAAATTGCATTTCCGGTGACGGAAACAAACGTACCTCCCCAAGATGGCGCCGCACAGCCGCAAGACAGCATGAGCATCACGCCGCTAGCTCCACAAGTCATGAGGACCCATATGCCATTCACAGTGGCAGCTTTAAAAGAATTAAAGACAGCAGTTGCCCAATATGGCCCTACAGCAGCTTTCACCCTTGCTGTTTTAAATTCTCTGGCTGACGTCTGGCTCACACCTACAGATTGGCAAAAATTGGCCCGAGTGACTTTATTGGGTGGGGATAATCTTTTGTAAAAATCAAAATATACAAAAAATTGCAAAGAGACTGCCAGGAGCAATACACAAGCCGGCAATGGGTGGGACCTTAATATGTTAATAGCGGAAGACACCTATGCATGCAGAAAGGCTCAAAATGAGTTTAATCCAACATTTTTTGCTCAAATTCAAACAGAAGCTACTCGAGCATGGAGAAAGCTGCCTACAAAAGATAATATAAGCTCCTCTCTCACTAGCATTAAGCAAGGCCCAGATAAACCCTTTTCAGAGTTTGTTGATTGTTTGATTGCTGCTGTTAGCAGAGTCTTTAGCCGTGCTGATGCAGGCACTGATTTTGTTGAACAGCTGGCTTTTAAAGGCGCCGGCACTATCTGCCAGGCCGCTATCAGACTTCATAAAAATAGAACAGGCCTAACAGGATGTATACACCTTTGCTGTGCCATTGGAGCTGCTTGTCAGCGGGCCTTGCTGGGGCTGCTGCCTTGCAGGGGTTTGCAGTTGGACAGTTGTTATCTTAAAAGCATAAACAAAACTCTTTTACCTGTAGAGAGACTGGTCATTTTACAAAAAGACTCCAGAGATACAGATTCCAATGTCAATTACTTTGACTCATTTAACTGATCAGAGTGATATTGGTCTGAAGTTTAATTTCAGCATATGTAAGGATGGGGACAGCTGCTGAGAAAAAAAATGAGAGACACTATGATAGTTATTATTGTCTTCCCCAAAGTCAGATCTTAAAGACCTGGGGAGCCTTCATCATCCTGTAATGATTAATTGGTTCTGTAGTGTGCAGTGTGTATTTAATGTGCGTAAAGATGGAGATGGCTATTTGGAGAAGGCTGGAGACAATTAGATGGACATTGGGGATCTCCAGTGGACTTGCTTTGAAATCTGTATTTCTTTAAATCTCTTTTTTAAAAAAACTGTTTTGATATGTTTGGTCTTGCCCTCTCTGAGATAGAGGACAGGTGTGTGGGACTGATAGGCGTGTTACTGGGTTTTTGTTGGATCGTTGAGCGGAGCTGTTGGCAGTCTCACTGTTTGAATGTCACTTTGCATGTTTTGGTTTTGTGACCTGAGCGGCTGTTTCTGGGATGACGGTGTGTGACTTATCAACTGGTGATTTCTTACCATTTGTTTTTCTGTAATTCTGTATTAAGATCACTATAAGAAAGCCAGACAGATAGTAAAAAACTGCCCTTTTTGTGCTATTCACTTGCCTGTTCAACACCTGGGAGTCAATCCTAAAGGTTTAATTCCTAACGCCTTGTGGCAAATGGACATTACTCATTTCAATGAGTTTGGCAACCTAAAATATATACATCTAATTGTTGATACATACAGTGGCTTCATTTTCGCCACTCTCCAGACTGGAGAAGCCGCCAGACACATTATAGCCCATATGCTGTCAGCCTTCTGAGTTCTGAGATGTCCTCAACAGCTCAAGACCGATAATGGCCCTGGCTATACCAGTACTTCCTTCGCCCAATTTTGCAAGTGCCTTAATATCCTCCACACCACAGGTATACCTTATAATCCTCAGGGACAAGGCATTGTTGAACGTGCGCTTCGTTCCCTTAAATTTACCATAGATAAAATAAAAAAGGAGACATGGCACCCAACCCAGGGGTCCCCTAGAAATGTCCTTTCACATGCTCTTTTTATTTTAAAATTTCTGACCCTGGATGCTTCAGGCTGCTCCGCGGCATCTCGATTTTGGCATACTCAAACTCAAACACGGTTTGTGTCTGTTTTCTGGAGAGACCCACTAACCAATATGTGGAATGGCCCCGACCCAGTCCTTATCTGTGGACGCGGCTCAGTATGTGTTCACTCTCAACAAGACAGAGAGGCTAGATGGCTACCTGAGCACCTTGTAAAACAAGTAGACATTTCTTCAAAGACCCCATGCAACGCCCAAGAACAATGTCATTTTCTGAGGCACAATCCCTCATGTTCTCTTACAGGTGACACAACTCCCCGGAGCCCTATGCTACCTACTCAGCCTTCTCCTTGAGCTGTACCACACCCATGGTGGATTTAGACCCCTGACAAACAGACTACAACTGCTGACAGCCATGCACACAACTCCCTGTGACTGTGGAGGAGGCTCTTCTCAGTCTGGAGGAACATAAACCAGCCAAATAGACTGCGTCCGGTGTTATGCGAGGCAAGCTCCAAGAAATAGAAGAACGACTTCAACAGCGACAACAACAAATGGCTGCCAACCCCTTCTCCTCGATGTGTGTGTGTGGGGGGAGCTTTTCCTTTACCTAGTGCCCCTTTTGGGTCCTCTAGCTGTCCTATTGCTTCTCCTTTCTGTGAGTCCTTGTATTTTTTGGCGTATTATGATGCTCATTAATAACCGGATAGACGCGTTTATGGCAAAGCCCATTCAGGTACACTATCATCAGCTGGAGATGGCAGATCAACAAACCTACCGGGAAGGAATTCCCACAAATGGCCCAGATGATGATGCGGCCTAACTGCCCTGGGGCAATGGACAGGCAGTCAGAGACGGGCAACTAGGACATGCATGTTAACTCCATTGGCCACCTAAGACAGGCACAGGACCAACTGCTGTCCTGCAAGCCCATGACGGGTAAGGCCTGGTTGGGTTCATATAATGAGGTCCTTGACCTAAGACAGATGCTGTCCTCACAGGGCCTGCCATACTCCTGATTAAATAATATAGAAAGGGAGGAGATGTAGGGAGCCATGCGACAGCCCCATTGCTGCCTCCCTGCCTCTCTCTCTCTCTCCTATGGGCACAATGCGTCTGCCTACATTAACCATAATCCTCTCCTGCTTACAGTACATACCCGGATGTGACGATGACCCTGTTGTATTCATTCCCATAGCTTCTTCCTGTCCCACCAGCCCGCCCTTGGCCTATAAAAGATGTAATCACTTCCAGAATAAATGGGGCTTGATTGGACTCTCTCAACTTGCCTCGGTCTCTCTCTCTGTCTCCCCCATGTTTTTATTTAATCCCCGTTCCCCCTCCAGGTACACTCCATGGATTGATCCGTGGCCAGATCAAATAGCCTTAAGAGATTGATGTAATTTTAAGCTCCATTTTGGAGATTGGGAAATGGAGGCTGGGAGAAATTAAGTTCAGTGATGCCACAAGGCTTGGAACCAGGCATTTGATTTCAAACTTATGTGTATGGCCTGAATAACTGTTTCCTCTGAATACTGGGACAAATACTGCATGATAGAAAGCATATGGCCTTAGTGTTAGACCCTCACGTTTTGGCTGTGTTGCCCACATATTGCAACCCCAGACACGTTACCCAACCTCAGTGACCCCATCTGGAAATGGGTTAATGAAACCCACCTCACAGGGCTTTGATGCCAGTGAAATGAGGACTTTCTGCTGAGTACCTTGCTCAGTGACTGGACATAGTGCATGGGGCTTAGCTGATAGTGAGGAGTCAGATGACCTCTCCTCCACTCGCTGGAGGATGGACTTCTTGTAGCCAGTCTCCTGCTCATCTTCCCCGCCCTCTCTGAACCGAGTTGTTTCTGGATCATCTACGGTTAAGAATGTTCCACTGCGTCTGATTCCAGGGGAACCACATAGCCATCTGCTATGTTGGTGACCACGCAGACGCCTGGATGAGGAAGCCCACTGTGCTGCAGGAAGTCCGGCTAATGAGATCCCTTTCCACTAGTCCCTGGGTGCATAGTGGTAGGAGGTTTCTTCCATAACTGCCCAATACCTTTGCCCCCAACAGCCCAGTTTTGGGGCCTCAGACCCTTGATCCAACCTATAAATATCTAGAGCCCTGATCACTCCTACCTCTGCTTTTTCCTCTCTTCCTTCTGGCCTTAATTCTGGGTTCCTGCTCCCTCTCTCTGTGACGGCTGCTTATGACCCTTGAGCTTGTGCTCTGGAATGAGTGGGACTTCTTGTTCAGTATTTGTGACCTGCTGTGATCCATACGCTGGCACTGAGAACCGTACCCATGGCTGCATACTGTTACTGTGATGTGCTTTAATTTAGCTCATAGCTAAGGTTAGACTTTGTTCATTCTTCTGGTTTATTTGTTGGAGGCAGACTGTCCAAGTGCCTTCCAACTTGGCCACTTTTAGGTTAAATGATCATCAATAAGTTCTGTCATCTGGAGGTGTTAGTTCCCTCATCTATAAGACAGGAACAGTAATAGTTCTCATCTTACAGTCTTTCAAAAAACTAACCAAAAGTAGGTACACCCGTAGCACAGCCTTTGGGTCAAAGAGACACTCTACCTGTGCTCTTAGTATTGTTCTTTTACAGACGTGTGAATTAAAGCATGAAAATATTGTTTCCTTCTTTGGTATTTGCACAGAACCACCTAACATCTGTGTTGTCACCCAATACTGCAAAAAAGCAAGCCTTAAGGTAAGCAAACTAGGCAAACTTAACTCAGGTTTGATGAGTGGTAGCTAAAAGAACCTTATCAGTGCTTTCTCCTGCTCATCCAAAGACAGCTCCCTTGAGTCCAATTGCAAGACCTGAATTATCTTGTTGAGCTTTCTGCTGGGAATCAAATCAGCAGTGGAGTTGCCAAGAATCTAATTCCCTTTGCTCTGTCTGAATGGAAGCTCTGGGGGCTTGGTTTCTTCTTCTAAGATGTCATGGCTGTTCACAAATTGTGTCCTTGGGCCCATCCTTCCCCCCGTATGTGATTATCAGTCTGTATCAGGCACAAAAAAGTGTTTGTAGAACTTGACTGTGTACCTTCTTCCACCCAAGTACTAACCGGCCTGACCCTCCTTAGCTTCCGGGGCAGATGAGATACAGTGTGATCTGAATGGCTATAGACATGCTTTTCAATACTGAGTTAGGCTGGGATATGTCATGGAAAGATTCCAATTGAGTTCAGTTTAATGTGTTCTCTTTCACATTATACTAGCTCTGGTCAACAGTATCAGAGATACTAGAGTCAACTCGTTAACTGTATGATGCTCACTGTGCTTTGGTTTGAATCACTAGTGACATTTTGAATTATGTTCTCTAGGATGTTTTGAGAAACTCAGATCATGAAATGGATTGGATTCAAAATCTCATTGGCATATGATATAATGTGAGTATACAATACACTTAAAGACTAGATATAGCATTTTCAACCTCTGTAGTTTGCAAGGCTGATTGTTTTCGAACTAGGTTTTCATTTGTAGGCAAATATGGGGATACCTATCTATATCTATCTATCTGTATCTGCCTATATCCTATTTTGGGACACAAAATTTCTAGTACTTTGTTTTATTAACTTATTTAATTCTCACAAGAAGCTGTAAGATAAATCTACTGTTACTCCCATTTCACAGATGGGGAAAAGAATTACAGAAAGTTTATGTAATTTACTCTAAGTCTCATAAATACTAAGTAGTGGAAATAGGATTCAAACTTAAGTATTGGTGAGTCTTATATTCAATGACTATAAGTAAAACCAGAGAACTGTTTTGTGTTTTGCAGTGGGGACCAGTAAATCCACATCTAGATGACCCATGAGTAGTAGTTTAGGGACAATTCAGTGGGAGGTGGAGAGAGGGCCATTTCTTCTTGCTGCCATGAGAGTGTACATGCATGTGCATGGGCAGAGGCACAGTAGGGAGATGGCTCAGGATAGGCACATGGCCAGTGATAAGAAATGGAGGGCAGAAGTGGAGTGAAAGAGATTAGCTGAGCAGTGGGCCACACTGTATGGAGCAACCTGAGGCTGCTCTTCTCCACCTGAGCTAACATCCAGCTAGCTGCTCCAAGCACACACTTCTACCATTAGAAGGGCCCAAGCCAAAGCCTGGGGTGGATGTGAATGAAGAAGTCCCTCAGCCTGACACACGCTCCACAGGGCCAAGGCTGGTCCTCCACATCAGTGAACAGTCCTGCACCGGTCAACAGAGCCCTGTGGAGGAGTCTGCTGGAGTGCTGTGAAGGGTACCAGGGAGAGACGTGGGCTCCACCCTCCTGGAGACTTGGGTCACTGACTCGTTGAGTGACCTTGCCAGGCTACATCCCTTGTTTGCATCTTGACTTTAATGTAGGCATAATGAGTGAGGTTGGCCTGGTTGGCATCAAAGAGTTTTTCTTCCTCAGAGATCTTACTGACTTTTGTTTCTAAGAAGCTGAATTTTACGGCCCAGTGTGAGTTAATTTTCTAGGCCACGGTGGAAAGCTGGCATCTTGTTGGCAGGTGAGGTAGACAAATAGAAACATCTCTGATTTGGAATCCAAGAACAACTCTGCACTACCACTGTTACTGCATTAAAACTGTCATGAGCATTTGTTAAAGTTTTTTTCTACTACAGGGTCCTTTTCCAGGAAGACCAGGCCTTTGGCTATCACCTACCAGCCATGAAAACAAGTCTTCTCAGGCAGAGTGCCACATGCCTGTAATCCCAGCATCAAGGGGAGGTGGAGGCACCTGTTTTAGGTCAGCCTGGGCAACTTAGTGAGACTCTATCTCAAAAATAAATAAATAAATAAATAAATAAGGACTCTGGAGGTAGCTTAGCGGTAAAGTGCATTTGGGTTTGACTCCCAGTATCAAACAAAACAAACTTCTATGTCTATTTGACCTGCATCCCCTTTATATTGGGTGCTAGAGAGATTCTGAGCTCCTGAGGGATTTTCAAACAAACAAGCAAATTGGCCCTCAATCTGTTGGAATCTGACTGAGATACTCCAGAGGCAGCCCTGCTCTGGGTCAGGCTGAGTGGTGTTTTGGTTTGTGTCTGGATGTCTCCCCCAAAGCCTCATGCAGTCATGGGGACAGGCTTCTAGAGTTTGTGGACAATTCACATTCCAGTGCTGGGATTATTATCTGAGGTGGGGTGGCCTACATACAAATATAAGGGATAGCCTTTTGCTCTTGTTGCTTTTGCTGTATTCTGGCTGCCATGAACTGTTGCCCTCTGCCATGAGCCCCCTGCCTTGGGTCCAGCAGGTTGTGGACTGAATCTACACAAACTGTGAGCTAAATAAACCTTTCTTCCTTTAACTTCCTTTAACTCAGGAATTTTGTCCCAGCAGTGAGAGAAAAGTAAGCAACACACTGGGTTTGCATTTCAAAATGTGATTCCACTTTACCATGTCAAAAACAAGCCATGAGGATAGTGGACCACACACAGTCTCCTGATTCTGGGGTGGGGAGTGGGTGGCCTAACACTCTCCTGGGTATTTCCTTACAGCCTTATGTGTGGATTAGCCCATATTTCCAGTGCAATACTGGCCTCAGGGTTCTGGGTTAAACGGGAACCTGGAGACTCAGCCTGACAGCAGTGCTTGAACTGGCACCCAGGTGCAATGGTTTGTTGAGAACATCCTCGCAAATTCAAACGTTGCTGCACTACCCTGGGCATCCAGAGGTCAGACCCCTGTGCCACTTCTCTCTGCCTTCCCTACTGGCTGTGAACTGCACTGTGACCTGGCTGTGCTTGTGAAATGGTATCCTGGGGTAATGTGCTTTGACCCAATCCTTCCTTTGTTCTCTCCTTTCCCCTCCTCCAGAGTCACCCAGGGCACAGTGACTTACAAGTGACTGGCTTTGAAGGGTATCCATCCTGGATTTACACCCAGCTCTGGTCCTGACTTCTTGGGAACCATTTAAAATCCTGAAAATTGCTCATTGTGGAACTGAGAATGAGACTATTAAACTGTCTCAGCAGAGACTAAGTGTGACAATAGTTACAGGGCACAGTGCATGGAGCGAAGTGCTGAAAACAGATTCACTGTTACTTATCTGGTGATCACCAATCAATATTCCCATGTGGAAATGTGTAGCTAAAATGAAGTACTCCGGTTCTTCTCATTCTCTGTCCTTCGTCGACCTCTTTCTTCAGCAAATGGGTAGCTAAGAGTTGGGTTGAGAATCAGAAAAGATGATTCTCAGTCCAGTTCCATCATTCCCAGCCGCACAGGGACCTGGGGAAATTAATGTCTATGTTGCCTCCTAAAAAGATAATACTCGTGGTGTAGGCTCAGTAGGAGGATTGTATGTATCTTTGGTGTAATTGTTCTTTTTTTGTGGTGATGGATTCGTGGGATGCAGGTGGGGCGTGTACCAATAGAGAACAGAATTCTGGACCCACGTCCACATTTTCAGAGAGCCAGGTCTGGAGTGGGACCTGAAAATATGCATCTCTGACCAATTCCCACGCGATCCTCAGGCACTGGCCTATCAGGGACCTAGCCTACATCCCCAGTCTCCCAAATGGGTGTATGGTGAAGGCTTAAATGAGACAAGTGGTATGATTTTACAGCTCCAGGAGGATCAAAACCCTCTGGAGAGTTTGAGACTCTGGGGGTCAAGACAAAGAATGTCTCTGGGTGGCCCGTATTTATTTATGTTTCAAACAGGAAAGGGGCTAGAGTAGAAAATGCAGGAAACTGAACAGACCTTGGGAGTGAGTGGTTCAAGGATTTTTCCAAGTGGCAGGTTATGTTTAATTTAGGAGAACAGTGTTCTGTTAATTTATGAGAAGTATCTTAGGAGAAGATCTCCATGTTGCATTTCACTACAGCAGTGAAATGCCTGCAGCTACATTCTTTATTTAGTTAGCTGGAGTTGGGGCCAGGTGTCCCCAGCTGTGACCTTACCTGCTTTTTGAGGATCTCTGTTCTCAGGTCAGCCACGCCCTGGCCATGCCACAGCCCTGCAGGTGTGTTCAATTTCCAGTTTCAGTGGCTCCCAACACGGACCCTTATGTGGAGCAATCTAAAATGAAGGATCCACCTGACCTCTGTATTTGGTGTGGACCATGCTGGGGAGTGGGGAAGCATCCCTGAAGGCTACCATTCGCTGATGCTCTCTGCATGCCAGACCTGGTGCTATGCACTTTATACACATTAACCCCCTACATTCTCTGTGCAGCTGGAAGCTGTGCTCTACTGCAGCTCTTGTTCCTGGAGGAAGGCATTAATGTCTGGTTTCTTTTAAAGCCAGGTGAATATCCTAGACAGTCTGATGAGCAAGCTGGAAGTGTACGCCAGTCACCTGGAGGAAGTGGTAGAAGAGAGGGTCAGCCAGCTGACGGCAGAGAAGAGAAAGGTGGAGAAGCTTCTGCCCACCATGCTGCCCAGGAAGCCCAGGCACTGGGGATCTTGGGATGGATCCAAAGTAACTCAGGGAGCAAGAGTTTCATGAAGCCGCCTGTAGAGGGATTATTTCATTGTTCTTTTTCTAAGAAAATGTCAGGTTCTCCTAAAAGAGGTGAGGCAATTTGGGGCATGTAATTGGCACACTTTTTAAGGGAGATAGAGGGCCCCTCTCTGACACCCACCTCCCCCAAACCGGCAGGAATGCAGACAGTAGTGGGTCTTCAGTGTGGACGATGTGGGTGAAGCAACAGAAGAGGGCCACCAGAGGGCGCGCTAGTTTCATGCCTCGGGCTAATGCGGAGCGCGGTGGTGAAACCTTTGCAAAGCACAGTACATTAGGTTCCCTGACCTCATTTTAAAATTGCTTCAGTTTTGGTTGTTTCCACTCGTTCATTCGCTCAACACTTGGCAGAAGCTCTTGGTATTAAAATTTCTGTACATACTGTGTCTTGACCAAAGAAATGGAGGCAGGCCTTTGAATTGGTTAGTAATGTGAGGTTGCTTGAAGGAAGTGAAAAAATACTGATTTCTGGGTTGGAGAATGCTTGCACTCACATTCCCAGCTGCAGACTATGACTTTATAATCAAACGCTATACTTGATGGACGAAAATGAGATGCCTTCAGCAAGGAAACCTCTTTCCCAAAGGCATTTATGTGACCTGCTGTCTGTCAGTTTGCAGCCACCAATTACAACTTGGCGGGGTGGCACCCGGGTGTTGGTGCATGACACAAATGAAATCCTATTACAAATGATCTTTCTCAAAAAAACAAAAACAAAACCCAAAGTGATCATTTCTCTGGTTTCAGTTTCATTGGAGAACAACTCATTGCTGGGAAGTCTGTGGAACCAGAACATTTTGAGTCCGTGACAATCTTTTCTCTAACAGTGGTGAAACTCCTCAATGTCGGTGCAGTTTATTCAGTCACATCCTTGAGACCTATGATGGGTACAAAGTGAGACCCTGGCTCTGCCGGGAGCCCTGCTCCTGCTGGCTGTGCCCTGCGGGGCGGCCTTCTTTTCCCTTCTGTCATTTAAATCTCACTGTAAATAGCTTTTTTGGGGGAGGTGGGAAGCACTTGGGGGTTGAGCCTAGAGCCTTTACCCTGAGGTACATCCCCAGCCATTTTTATTTTTACTTTTGAAACAGGATCTCGCTAAATTGCTAAATGGTGTAGATTGGGCTTAAATTTTGATCCTCCTGTCTCAGCCTCCTAGAGTGCTGGGATTACAGGCCTGCATGACCATGTCCAGCTAGTAAACACATTTTAAAAGAAACATTGACCTTCTGTCAGCTAATCCTTCCCCTTCTCTCCAAATCTCCGAAATTACATACTGCAAATATGTACTAGTAAAATATTTAGAAAAACAGGTTTTGTTCCAGTGTTAGTGTTGATGACTGTTTTGTGAGTTTTCTGACAATTCAAATGGGGTTGAATCATGGTCTCAGGGAAAGTGCCACATGTCTGTACTCATACACTTCTGGTGGCAGCTACTGCTGCACCTGCCTGACCATGAAGCCAGGACTCTGTCTGCCGGTCATCCTGAGACCAGCGAGATTTGGGGGGCAATGTGGCCATAACATCGAGTGACAGGTCCTCAGTGTATCCCCTGATGTTCCCCACAATTGATGCCTGTGTTCATAGGTGGGAGAAACGACACATAAATGCTTTTTAAGAGCAGATCTCCTCCCTGCCCAAACCAGCACCAAGCATCTCCTGCTTGGAAGACCATCACCTGGGATTTTCCTGAGTTATTTTCTCAGCAGTGCTAACATTGGAACTGGTTAGTGTTTCGAAAGAGTGCCATCATGCTGGGGAGAGGTGGCCTAGAAGCAGGTTGGGCTGTTTTGTAATTTGCGGGTAAGCAGGATAGATGGGAGAGTTCTGACTACCTGGCTGACCCCTGAAGATCCACCTTGGGTTCTGCTGAGTATCAGTGTATCTGGAAAGGGCTGACACTTTAAGTTTCTAATGGTCATTTGTTTCTCTGCTGTGAACGAAGGACCTGAAAACTGATTTTATTATTAGAAGGATTGAGAGAGAAGATGACAAAGGAGACACACGTGTTTCTGTTCACCTAAATGCAAATGTTTTGTGCAGTGTATCACGTGTGCGTGTCTATAAATGTGCTTAAGAGCCCTGGCATGGATGGAAGACACCTCGGGTTGGGTAGGACACAACCCCTTGATGGATCCACTTGACTTCCACTGCTACCTACCTGGTTCTGATCTTTGCTGGGGAAATACGGTTGGCTTTAGGAAGTGAAACTGTGGCTGTGAGGAGCAGGGCTCAGGGAAGGAAGCAGAATGGAAATATGGACTTGAAGAAATTCTGGGACTTGGTTGGGGTGGCCATCTGCAAGTGGGAATCTTCCAAGATTCCCTCAAATTACCTCAAGGCAGAGGTAAGCAAGGAGCTTTGACCTATGACCCTATCCTCACCCTCTACCTGCCACTGCCCTCATGGAATACAAATTTTTCTTGCTTCACTTTCTGGTTGAGACCATCGGAGATGCCTACATGGTGGCTAGTTGACTTCCCATCCTCAATGGGACCCAGCATGTTGACCAGATTGCCACCATGTCCCTGCACGTCCTCAGTGCCACCATCCATTTCCAGATTGGGCACATGCCTGAGGAGAAGCTTAAGCTCCGGACTGGCCTCCACAGGGGTAGCCAGAGCTGATGGTGGGTGACCTTGTGGCCCAGGTTTAGTGACAGGTAGTTGTGGGTTTGAGAGCCTGGTCTAAGGCTTTTAGAACAGTCACCTCGTGGTAAGAATGTCAGGGCGACCAAAAGATTGAATCATCTTTTTATGACTCTACCTTCCGGTTGGGTAGACTGCTTGGTAAGAATAAGGACACACAGTGGTTCCCAGATGTTGAACCAAAAATAAATGGAAGAACGAAAAATCAGGACAGCAGTGGACTACTTTTCCTCCATGTCTGTATCAAATGCCCTTTAATGTTTTCTATTTTTGTCAAATTCATGACAAAACTCATGACCTGTGGAGAAGTCACCCCTACTTGGTTTAATACTTTTCTGTCACTGTTTTGAAATTTCTCGTATTTTCTGAACAGAGTCTCAGAGTCTCATATTTGCATTTTGCACCAGGCCCTGAAATTTACGTAGCCAGAGTCTTACTCAAATTGATCTTTCAAGTCTCACTGAAATACAACCTGACCTCCAGTCGGAATAAATTATTTTCGTGTTTGTACCACTGTAGGTTTTGTGCATCTCTAGTTCCTGGTAGACATGGTCTTTACTTGCTCATGCTGCTTCCCGCCAGGCATCCGTGGGTCTGCGGGTTACCTCTTTGCACAAACGAAGATGGATAGGCTAACTCTGCCCCAAGAAAGAATTTAAGAAATGCTTGTTGACTTGCCCTGGCTGACTGGATGGACTTCCTGGAGCCAGGCTGAGCCCCCTGGTTCTTGTGTCTTCAGGTCCTGTGGTGGCCGGCGTGGTGGGAATCACCATGCCCAGATACCGTCTGTTTGGCGTCACCGTGAACGTGGCATCTAGAATGGAGAGCAGCAGTTTGCGTGGGTATTAATAGCGGACCTCTGTGAGCTCAACCTTGCTGTCCCTCCCGGCCCTTATCTTTAACCAGATGGTATTTTTAGAAGACTCATTTGCTTTTTCTCTTGTTCTCCACCTGGGAGATAAGATCTCCATTCACTTCAGGTAGCACGGATGACACAGTATACGGCAAGGCTTTGTGCTCTGCTCTCCCTGGGGTCCTGGGAACGCACAGGCTGCCCCCAAGGCTTTTCACTGCACACAGACACACTCATCACAGAGCAATTTAAACCCTCAGGAGCAGTGGGAGGACTTCCCTGAACAGAGACAGACAGCAGACACTTTTGTCTTCACAGGCCACAGTGCCTATTGCCGTTACTTAATTCTACTATCGTAGCTCAAAAACAACATGGGCATATTCCAGTGAAGCCGTATTCGCAAACACAGATAGTGGTCTGCACTGCTGTCCCCAACCCTGCTGTGTGGTCTGTCTGGGGGTCCTTTTGGGTCCTTTTGTAAAAGGACCTCTATGACCAGTGATTCCAATGAGCATCACGACTTTTGCTTTGTAATTTTATTGCCTTGATAATTGAGAGACACATACTTATCCATGCTGACACGGCAGAAAAGAACCGCTCAGGAATTAAACTGGAAAGAGTTTAGGTTAACCTTGCATGAATTTATAGTTTTTCCACAAGATATAAAAACATACGCATAATTCCCTCTCTAATTCCTTTTTTCTCTGAGTTAATCAACCAAGTCTCAAACTTAAACTTTCACTTATAAGAAAAATTTCTCACAACGTATTTGAAAGGTGGCTGCTTATGTAGGCTCCGAACCTGGTTCTCGTGGTATTTCTTATTGCAAAGAACATCTTCGGTAATGTGTCCCAGCTCAACCAGGAAGCATAGGGGAGCCCAGAGAACCCCAGTCCATGAGGACTGCCAGCTCATTAAGCAATGCTTAGTGAGAGGTTTTGGAGAGGAAAAAAAAAGGAATACATAGCTAACCCTTCCAAAAAAGTCCTCCTGTACTGACAGCTCCATGACAATGGGTTAACAAGGCACTGGTTGGTTTACGCAGCTTTTTGGATCCAAAGCACTGCAGGCACCCCGTTGGCCATGGGAGGGTACCATCTGCAAAAGAGAGGCGCCACTCTGGTCAAGGTAAGGCCAGGCCATTGTGCCTCACCTGCCTCCCTTGTGTGCCTTGTGGACATGGAGAAGAATGTGTCTGGATAGATGAATGTCCGTGCAGTGGTACATGGAGACCCGTTAGGTGTCTGTAAGTTCTGGCTGTCAGGGCTTTTTGCTTCCGAGAAGTCTACGCAGCCCCGTCGGAGGCTCCCACATGGACTGGCCCACAGGAAGCACCTATACAGACTCCTTATGGGGTCTTATATGGTGGCTTGTCACTGCCACCAGTGGTCCCATAGCTTCCACTCGAACTCTTGTCTGTCACATAGAGCACTGAGATTAGAGTGCTCACCCTTCTTCTGTGTCCCTTCACCTGGGAGCAAAGTGCCCAGCAGAAGGAAGAGAAGTCCACTGGCTTGGCCTTGGGATACTTGGAGTATCTCACCTCTCTGCACCCCGATTCTCCTGCCTCCTCCCTCAGCCTGGCCTCACTGTGTCCCTGGGAAGCACCAGGATGCGCTCTGGCCATTCCCTTGGGTGGTTGTTTCCAGGAGGGAGCACCTGCCCCTCTCCAGAGGCCCTCGGGGATGCCTTGGAGTATGCACATGGGCACAGTGGGTGGTCACTGTGGTGCTGGGGGCTTTGCCGAGTGAGGAGAGGAAGAAGAGGTGAATGCCGAATGCCGCTGAGCTAAATCCCCAGCCCCTAAGAGCAGGGCTTCTTCAGCTCGCTGGAGCCCATCTCCTGACCTCTGGAGGGGGGAAGACTGTGCAGAGGACAGCAGTGTAGACCTAGCCCGCCCCACTCCTTTGTAGACGTCTGACTGTGAAACCTGGTTTTGTAGTCCATAAAATGGAAATAATGATAATCCTGGAAGTAAGGATTCGATGTCAGTAGATATGGGAAGTGCTGCTCAGCTCATACTACAATTCAATAGATTTTATTATTATTTAAAAATTTTTTTTTGCAACTCCCTGGTTTTAGTGTCCACTGGTCCTTCTTCCCAGGGCATGGCTGACTGCTCATCTAGATTTGTCAGCAAAGCCCAAGAAAGTCACTGAGATCCCGTTGGGAAGGTGGCCTTCCCCTTACGGGAGCAGCTCTGCTCTCCTGGTCAACAAAGTTGACCAGCCGGACCTCCAGGGCAGCTTCAGCCCTGTGTACTCACCAGCGGCTCCTTTGCCTCCCACAGGGCAAAGAAGAACAAACAACTTTTTGGCTGAAAGGCAAACTGGGCTTCATGATTCCACTCCCTGAGTTTCCTGAGGAAGAAGTGGGAGTTCCAGAAGTCTTGGGAGGTGAGCATTTTCTTTCCAGAGGTTTATGATGTCACAGGGGAGCCTGCGGGCTTCTCCCCGTGGGGATACATCCAAGGTCCTACTGAAGAGGTGCAATTCTGAGGTTGAGTCAGTCTCTCACTAGAGGATGCCATCCGGCTGGCCACCGCGTCCACCTAGCTATTCTGTAGTGTTTGCCTCCAGCAGCCTGTCCTCAGATGGTGGTGAGGGCCAGGGGTGAGTGGGTGTGATGTGTGTGCTGTAAACTCTTTTCCTGGAGTCCGCTCGGTGAGTCTGTCCTAGCTGCTGGAAATTTCCAGTCATTTAACTTGTGAATTTATGGTGAACCCGCATCACCTGGGCAGAGGGACAGCAGGAGAAGCCACAGAATGCCCTGGTTTTCTGTGTAAGACACTGCTCCCTGACCTGAGGACTTATTTTCCTTATGAGCAAATCTGCTTGCAAGGGACCAGGAACCCAAATTGCAAGGCACCTCAGAAAGTGCCCAGGATAGAAGGTCTAAGGTGTGAGCAGGCCCAGCAGGGAGAGGACACTGCAGGAAGAGAGGCCTGCTGTGTGGCTGGAAGGCCTGGCCCTGGCCCTGGCCCTGACTTCCTGTGAACAACTTCAAACAGATAATGTCCTGGTCTCCGACACTGCCCAATTTCCTTCCTGTACACTGAATAAAAACTCATGCAATCACGGCTTGAATTTTAAGAAGAATTTTTCATTCCTTTATGAAGCATTTGATTTAAAAAATTCCCAATGGACACAGAAGAGCCCATCCATTCCTCTGATATTTTCCCCTCTATACAAAGAATAGCGTTCCATATTGTGTGTGTGTTTTTTTTCTTTTTTTGGTACCAGAGATCAAACCCCAACCTCAGGTTTGCCAGGTAGGTGCTTGGGCCGCTGAATTATATCCCCAACGTGGTTCCATGTTGTTTTATTCAACAGTTCTTTTAATAGATTTACTCACCCACTGATGAATTGACAACACTTCTTTCTTCTTCCCTTGCAACACCTTGCAGCCAAATAGCTTCCCTGCGGTTGCTCCTGAATACAGCGAGGCAGTTGGAATGAGGTCTTTGTGGTTGAACCTCCCGCGATGAAGATCTCACTTCTTCAAGTGAGATCCAATGTGACCATTAAGGATTTTTTTTCCTTTCTGGACCTCTGACCGACTTTTGTGGATATTTTTGAGTTCTGTATTAGGAAATAAACTACTTTTTGGTTTATCAAGGGACTTCGATACCACATTTTAAGGAAAGATGTAGTGGATTCTTGCTTTTCTCTAGGGAGTAGGCCAAGTAAAGTGTTTTCCCAGATAAGTCCATCTTTATTGAGCTTCTAACATTCTCATCAGCAGTGTTTGTCTTCCAGTGAATTCTACAGCCCACAACTTGGTTTCTCTCATACAATTCTGTTTTTATTGTGATAGGTTCTGCTCCTCCCCAAAGGCCCTCGGCACAGCGGACTGACAGCTGGAGGAAGGCAGGAGGCATTTATGAGGGGTACATGGAGCTTTCTTCCTCCTACTATGGCATGGATGGCCTAGAGTTTATCTTTTCACTTTCCATACCTTCTTTCTTTGGAATCCTGGCTTCTGGATCTCAAATACTTTGGTCAACTATGTAAGAACACAAGTCTACTGCTGTGAGGGCTTTTGTAAAGACAGGCCCATCTGCATCCATCCATCCATGTGTCTGAACATTTCATTAAATCAAGAGGCATTTATTAGGGATTTATTCTGTGCCAGCTACTACACTGGAGGCACAAGAGGATATGAAACTTTCTTTGATCTTTATCTCACAGTTTAGTCAGGGAAGGGTACAGCAGCAATGCAGTGTCAGGGACAAACAGATCTATGAACAAAAGTGAAGTAATCAAGCAATCTGGCAGTGTTACATGAAAAGCACGTTTGAAAATAATATTCAGATACAGGGATGAGGTTGGATAGTCAACCGTCTATTATCATCTCTTCTTTGTATTTGCATTAAAGATGTGTGTTTTTTTCTCTTCAGCCCTAAACTGCATGTTTACAAAGTTCTGTTCATATAATATTTTGTTAATCGTGTCTTCTTCATTGAACATTATGACACAAAGGCACATACAAAACTTACACACATATGTATACACAGACACTCTTACGCATATACTTATATGTATGTACATCAAACAGTGAACACAGGGAGTAGGACTGCAGAGCCAGAGAGGCAGAGCATGAGAGATAGAGACCAGGAACTTTGGTAAGCTTAGTTTCCTAAAATCTATATGCAGTGTTTTATCTACATCAACCAAGGACCCTTAAGGGAGAATGTATGCATATGTTTCTTCCTCCTCCCCTTAATGTCTGCTTTATTTTTAGCTCTAAGAAGATTTACAAGAGATTATTCTGAAGGTGCTTTCTCTTAATCCCTCCATAAAAAGTTATGAGACAGAAAAGGCAACCAAACATAGTCTGCCTTAAGCCAAAACACATCCATTTGCTGGCAAGAGACATTAGCATCGTGTAGACAAGAGACCTCCCCCCAGATCATAGTCACACTCTTATGTAGAGTATTTGGAGTGGAAACAGGGGTCAAAACAACTCAAAGTCTTCCGTATGCTTGTGAGTCTAAGAACACGACTTGTAGAAGCGCCTGAAAGGGTTGAAGAATTGGCTTTCAATGTGATATATTAATGCTGTAGACTATAGTGACAGGTTGTTTATTTTAAAACATTTTATTTATCCCATTGTACCAGGTGGAGATCCATGATCATAAAACATAATGATAAAAAAAACAACTAACATGACATTGTTTTTGTCTAATAACTAAAGACTTACAAATTTGGCTATAAGTAAGCTATTTAAGAGTTTTAAATGAGAACCACTAAAATGTCATCTTTCTTGACTACAAAAAAAAAAATCTGAGTTTTCAGAACTGAGAGTCCTCAAACAGGTGGAGTAGCAACTTACAGTAGGTCAAGGGTAGGTGCATCGAGCCATGTTACTGTAGTGTGTGGTAACGTCCATACACCGCGTGTCTCTGGAGATTTGATAACTGGTTTAATCTCTGAGTTCACTAGCACAAGTTGGAAAGAACTATCAAACTGGATATTTCAAAACTTCTCACATACATTAAATACAGAGAGATAAACTAACATTTAATTTCAAGTGATGAGCCCACATGAGTCTTTACATGCCTCAGAATAAAAGTCTCATCACACTGTATCCAGTTCCCCACCACGGTTAGTTCATTCAGTTTTTATTTGGTTAACAAATATAAATTACTGATGTTACCTGGATAGCCAAGGTGGCCCGTTTTAAGGAGATGCTACCAAGTGATATCATTGGCCATATTGGCATGTTTCTGATGCTCTTTGTTGGTTCACTGTAAGGAGCATAAGTTAATGAGACCGACATAGATATTGGACTGAATATTTTAAGTAAAGGCTGAGATCAGATCCCTCAGTCCAAAGAAGATCTCTTAGTGGAGCACAGAGTAGGAAACTGTGAGAGTTTTTTAAGTGTCACCGACACATGAAGGATCATGTCACGAGGCTCAGGTTGCCTGGGTAGCAATCTATGTCACAGGCAGCATTTCCTGTAGGCAATGCCATGATACAGTAAATGAATGTGAGTTTTGTTCCTTTTGTAGCTTTCTCTGTAACTAGTAATTGTCTTTTGATTTTTAAAAGTATATATCAACTAAGAGAATAGAGGGTTTACCTCTCCCTTTTATGCATATATAGTTAAGAAATGTTAAAACAAATTAGGTTAGTACTAGGGTCTCTTGAGAATCCATTCATTTGTCTTATCCAGCTTTGAGCAAAAGTATCCCGTTCTCCTCTGACTCCCACACCAATGAAAGACTGAAAGCCCTTGCTCAGGGCTCAGCTCTGATCCTTAGGTAGAATCACAGTCTCAAGACAAAGCCTTGGTGGGCAAAGTTGGCTCTTCCTGTGTGCCCTGTATTTAGCACTGACTGTACTTATGCACCTTGCTGGGGGGGGGGGTCTTTTAAGGTTAGAATAGCTTCCAAAGGAGTCTGCTCTCACCCTGGTTTGAATCTGAGAAAGAAGACTCCTCCCCCAGCTACTAGGGAGGTGCTGTCAGGAGCGAGGGCCTCAGGAAGTAGCCAGAAGAAGGGGGACACCAAAGGATAAGGATCACTGAATTCACAAAAATCACCGGAACACATAGCTGGCAAAGCGCTAACCTCTGCTACCCAGACAGTGTGGTCTTCTGTTTGTTCTTCTCGGCAGCACAATGAACACGTTTGTCATCTCTGAGGACGACCTTGGGGCAGGAGCTGCGCTGCCCGGCTTAACTCCTACAGTGCAGTACACAGCCCCAGCAGCAGGACGAGGTGATAGAGAACATCTGGGGAGCAGAAGGGTGAGACATAGCACTGAAAACAGTGGGGAAGAGGCCAGGACCACCCAACCCCAGACTCAACACAACCTGTCAACGCGTGGGACTTCAGCGGCTCGTCATAAAACTTTGTGCATTTTATGCAAAGTCATTTTGGATCATGCCCTGAGGATTCTGTGGCCCACTTCTATCCACACAAAGAACCTAACCAATAAATCTGGTTTGGGGACCTCTGGCAAGTGGACAGCCAAATTTGGGTCATCAGACATGGTGCACCTCCCTGGAGGACTCTTGCAGTAGGACTTCCTTTAGACACGAATATCTAGAATTAGACTTTAAAAGTTGTTGCATGTGATTTCCCTTTAGTGTGCCAGCAACGTCTGCATATAAATGGGGCGGTCTTACTCCAACTTCTGGCATAGTCGTTTCCTTCGAAGCAGCCTGGTGAGGCTTCAGGCTTAGCTCTGGGAGGCTTCCCTGTCTGCTTGCTTAACGGCCCCCCTTCTGTCCTGCCCCTGTGCGTCATCCATATTGGGAAGCCCAGATGCCTTGTCTGTCTTATTCCCTGCAGAAACCACATTGCCTAAAACAGCGCCTGGTACTCATATCTATAGTTGCCCCTCACTGGATGTTTGCTGTGTGTTTGGTGCCTTTAGCTGTGTTGGAACAAGCCATGTAGCACCACGTATGATACAGGCCATCGTGAGCCCAGCATCAGAGAGAAGAGGTAAGGTCACTGCTCAAGGTTACTTAGTTAATAAAGAGCAGAACCATAACATGGGATGGAGTATTTGTTGAATAACCAGGTCACTGAGACTCATGCTCTCCAAATGTAGGAGTCTGAGGTAGCCACCTGATGATGGCCTGGTCCAGGCTGAGGGGACTGAGGTCTGGCTCTTCTTTTCATCCGGTTGACTCCCAGCTCCTCCCTTTGGGGCCCAGGGGCTGCATGGAGAGCACCTTATCTCTGTCCCACACAGGTGAGATGTAAAGCATAATTTTTGTTTTTTTACAGTTTTGCTGGGGCCGTCTTTAGAAATGAGTATCTGCTTTACAAAAGCAATGCCCATGCCCATGCCCATGATGTTTCCCCGATGTATCTCTTTTCCTTACCTGAGGAACTATAGAGACTTGGAAATCCCCTGCCTGGAGTGATGAGGGAGGGAGAGAGAGAGAGAGAGAGAGTCTAAGGGACAATCATGGACGACATCTCACAGTTACATTTCTGAAACATAAACCCAATTATGTCCCACCAGCCCCCAACTTCCCACATGAAACCACGGGCACCCTGTTGCCTTAGGACTGTACCAAAGTTTGCAAAGGTGTCAGTGAACCTGTCTTCTCCTGGACTCTCTAAAGACAGGGATTGGTAAACTTCAAGCCAAGAACCAGGGACTAAATATTTCCCTTTTTTTGAGCCCACAGTCTCTATTACCACTCATCCACACTTTTATTATAGTGTGAACAGCTGTAGGCGATACTGTACCACCTCAATGAGGAAGTGTGAGTTTTCATAAAACTTCAAAGGCCCGAAATTCATATTTCATATAATTTCATGTGTTGCAAAAAACTTTTTTTAGATAAAAATGGAAAAAATTTTTTTCTTTTATTTAACTTGTAGGTCACACAAAATCAGCAGGTAGCCTGGGCCTTGGGCCTTGGTCTTAACTACACTCCCTGGTATCCAGGCTAAAGCCTCAGCTTCCTCATGGATCTTACCCTCAGGTTATATCAGCCTTCCGGTCACTTTGTTTTCTACAGGGCTCTTCCATACCCTGGAGCTGAATCCCTTCTTGCCTTATACTTTGGAAGCACCCCCCCCCCACACACACACTTTTTTTTTTTTTACAGTAATCTCTACCCTTGCTAGATGGCAAGTTCCTTGAGGGTAGGTCTTGTTTGACCCAAACTCCAGTGCCCAGCCCAGGCTAGGCAGGGCCGAATGCTTTATAAAGGTTTGTTGATTTGTACTTGATTTTCTTGGAACATTTCATTTTCTCTTACTTTGGTTCACTGCATGCTTGGTGTGAAGTGCAGGACTTCCTAATTCCTAGGGGCGTTTGGCTCAGGGCTGCGAATAAAGCTTTGCAGGTTACGGAACTCCACAAACCTCCGCTCCTCCACGCACACAAGCCTCCTCTCACCGGAAGACTCGGCGGGCGCAGGTGAGAGTTGTGGCCACAGGCACGCCTGGTTTGGCAATTCAGTGAAAATGCTCAAACCGGCCGTGCCTGTGAACACAGCCCAGTGCAGGCAACCACGGAAACGAGGCGGGGCTTACTCCGCAGGGACAGCTCCACCACCAGGACGCCACCCGTCTGGTCCCTCAGCAGGCGCTTCCTTTTGTCACAGGTCTGAGAGCCAGTGGAGAAGGAAGACAGAGAGAGACCGATGTAAAAACAGCAGCAGCAACCAACTGAAGTGGGTAAAACTTTCCGAATTAATACACACGATTAGCCTTATATTTGCCATGCAGAGAATTCAGGAGAAATACTTCGTTAACTTCAAGCTGGAAGAAATTCTGCTGGAATTTCCATTACCATTATGTGCAGAAAAAAGAAATCCACTTTTACTTAGGCTCTGCGCACCACCGTAATTTAAGAAGTGGATGCTTGCAAAAATGCTCTCTGCTTCATTTCCTTTAAAAAAAATATGCCGTCACTACTCATCTATTGATCAACTGTGATGTGTTTTTCCCATCCTTTCCTGGCTCCTTTTTTCTGTCTGTGCTCATCTGTGACTTTTTTCTGGCCAAGTGTATCCACAGACATCGAGATGATGCCAGTACTTACGGGGTGTGCAGGTGGGCAGTCTTTTGGGAACTCTGTGGCTTTGCATCCAAGTACATACCCCAGAAAGAACAACAAACAATTTGAGACTCAGCCCTTGAAAGTCTTTAAGGTGATTTGGTCCTAAAACTCAGCAAGCACAGATCGCCAGCCCTTCTCACTGGCCAATAAGCCTTGGTCCAGAATTTCCGCAGCATCTCGCTCCAGCCTGTCCACTCCAAGCTCTAAATGCCCACCTCTTGAGTTTTGTCTATGCCTTGAATTCCCTTGCACTTTTAACCTTCTCAGAGCATTCCCATGTTTGTTACCACCTTACCTTTACAGTGCATGCCCTGAAAAGGGAAACACAGTCACTTCTTATCAGTGCTGAAGAAGAGGAAACCAGGTCCAGGGGGTTACGTGACATGTGCCACTCTGCATAGGTTGTGGGTGGCCGGGGACAGGGCTCAAGCTTCTCTCCCTGCTCCTGGGTCCTTTCCCCCAGGAAGCTGCACACACACACTGGCCACCCCAGCGGCCAGGTTGCTCTCTCCCAGCTCCAGCCCAGCTCCTCCACTTCCAGCCCCCTTGGGTGATATTTTCCTTCAGAGAAAGGTGGCTCACCACAGGGCAGGAGAGCTTCTCACTGTCGCAGATGAACGTCTCACAGTGTAACCAAACCTTGGAGAGTTTGGGGATGTTCTGGAACCGGAAGGCATTAAATTGGAAGGTCGCCCTGTGGTCCTTCCCGTTCTCATGCACGAGGACTGTTTCATCTGTGGGGCAGCTGGTGCACAGAAGGGAAGGGAGACAGTGAAATGTCACTCTGGTGAACTGTAGCAAGAGCTCTGTGGTTCATGTGCACACAGCAACACTCCTCTAGATCTGTGGGCTTCCTTGCCTTTCTGGAGCACTGTGGCAGGTGTTATCTCCCTTAGTTTTTACAATGATGAGGTCAAGGTGAGGGTCTATGAGATGGGTATGATTGTTCCCAGTCTACAGACAAGGTACAACAAGAAAGGAGTAACTTAGGAGAAGCCATACAGCCGTTGAGTCACTGTTCTATTGTAAGGAAACGAAACCCTTGGGAAAGGAAGTCTTCCTGTGGCTTGGGAACTTGCAGATCCTCAAGGTGATAAAAGACAAAAGGCACAGCGCTAGAAACAGCATTTCCTAGTGCCTCTGTAGATCCCTTCTTTCTGTGTATCTTAAAATTTTGCCACTAGAGACTTGAATGTATGCTCCATTATTTAAATATACATATGTTTATATCTTTATAAAATTGGGGTCACATTCTAAGCACAGAAAAAGAAAATGAGTGGAAAGACAGCCTCATAGTGTATCTTGCACTGACACTGAGGCAGGATCTAAGGCATAGCATGTCTGAGAGTTCATGAGTGATATTAGGGGTAAAGGTTGTGCTTTTATACGTAGGCCGAAGGCCAGAGTTGGCTCTGTTTGTGGTGCCTTCTGAGCAGCAATAGAGCTGTGGGCATTTTCCAGGTTATAAAACAAGACACTTCTGGGATCCTCTGGTCAACAAGCCTGAGATCCTTGTGTGAACTCAAGATGTGAGATCTTAAAAATAGCTCTTTGCCGCCTGAGTGCCCTCAGCGTGGTGACAGGCGGTGGAAATAATGCAAACAGAGCATTGGTGGAGGGTGGAGGATGGACATAGTGAACAGGCTTTGGTGTCTTGGCAGTGGCGCTCTTGACACAGGCTGTGGCACCTGCCCTTCAGTGACAGCTGTTTCTGCAGGGAAGAAGTCCCCTTGGCAGGGTTTCATGCCATTGCGGTGCAAGTCTCCTTCCCACGTCCAATCACTCTGAGATGGGTATGTTCCCCACGTATCCTCCTCACACAGGAAGACCTTGGCTATACTACCATGATAATCTCCCCAAGAATCCTTGAACACTGGGATTTGCTAAAAAAGCACCTGATATGAATAAGAAGCATCCTCCCAAGCTATTCCAAGCCAAGGAAATCAGGGAGGATACCCCTCCGGTTGGCCTTGGTTCTAGAGACCGGTACCCACCCCTTGTTGATCAGCTGCCACTGCAAGGGATACATGAAGTCCGCTGACGGTGTGGCCCAACAGCTGTTCAAGACCACTTTAAACCTGGAAACAGAAGGAAGCGGCACCACTGTGAGCCACAGATTCTTATGCCTGGAGATATCTGGTGATTAAAACACCTCTCTGATAGTCTCTATTTCTTTTTATTTAAAAATATAAATGCAGCAGAAATATACTCACCTAATGCTTAAACCTTTGGCTTCTACTCCTGCGAATAGATCTGAACCAATTTCAGATGCCTCCAGGACAAAGGGGGCTTCTTTCTTGGTGGAAAACTTGGCATTCTTTGGAAAGAAATGAACACTAGACATTATGACTTCTCAGGCTGAGCAGGTGGCTTCAACGGGAGCAGATGCATTGGGATGGGAATCAAACAAGCATGTGAGATCACAGAGTGACTTCTAGGACCAGAGCAGTTGTACCTTGTAGGATATTGGTGTCACCCTGGAAGGTGTACAATGGTCCCATGTTTCAGATTTGCTGGTCATGGTGAGTCCCATACATACATGTATGTCCATCTCATTTATACCAACAAAATTTGACTGATGGGAAAAAAAGTGCAATCCAGGGATGCTGAGGTATTATGTTTTAGGAAGCCAAGGACAAGAAGTACCGAACACATACTCTCTCTACCCCTGTTCTCTTCTGTTTCTCATCTGAGCAGATTTCACACTAGCTTGGAAAGTTTATAATTTGATTTCCAGTACAATTAATAACATTTTCATTAATGACTTATTAATTGCCTGGTATGCACCATGCACTGTTCTATATATTTGGATAATTTCTATCTTAGGGCACTCCATATGTTGAGGTATATTAGTGAACAAAGAAAGATTTTTCTCCAGTGATCCGATATTCCAGCAGGAGAGACAGACAATAGTGAATTATACAGTGTGTTAGCACAGAACACAGTACGTTACACAGGGAAGCAATAAAAATGACAGAGCAGGGTAAGGCAGATGGAGTGCTGAGAAAGGGCAGGGGGCCATTTGAAACACAGCAGCTGGAGGTCCTCACTGAGGAAGGAGCATCTGAGCAGGAACCGAGGCAAGTACGGCAGGGGCCACGCAGCCATCGAGGGAAGAACCTGTCCTTTAGGTTTTGTTCTGCTCCAGTGTCCGCCCTAGGTTTGTCCCAACTCTAGGACTCTGATTTTAGATTCTATCACTTACATTTTTTTTTAATTGCAAGCTTTTCCATTTCTTTTTATCTGTGAGGAATGGTTAGGACCACTTTGATTGAATGAAAGTCAACCCAATCCCACACTGACATTGATGTTCAGCTCCATGAAGGTGACAGTACCAGCAGCCCTGAGCTCTCAGGTCAAATGGGGTCAAAGTCTACATTCAGGGGACTGGCTATTTTCCAGAGCACTTGTATACTAAGTGTCCTAAAAATATTTTATTTAGTCTTGATAACAATTCTAAGTGCAACTATACCCCTACTTTAAATACAGAGAGAGTGGCACAGAGAAGTTAATAAACTTGTTGGAGATCATGCAACTAGTAAGTGCTTCAACTAGTCTTCAAGCCAGTGGTCTGGTGGCAAATAGGGTCCTCTTAACTGTCGTGCTACCATGCTCATCTAAGCTGCCCTCTCTCCTGTATTTTGCAACAGGAGTTAAAATAACTTTTTGCTGGAAATTCCAATCATGGGTGTTCAGCAAATGTAAGTGGGAGAGATCTGGGGAGGAAAGAGAGGAAGCACGCTGAGCAAAGCCAGCGCTTTTGGAGCCCAGCCTTTGGGGTTCTCAGAATTCTAAGCAATTAGCAGTGCACTGATGCCATTGTGCTATCTAGGCCACGGCTCTCTTTCTGGTAATTTGGTGGAAATATATGCAGAGAGTGCTTGTTACTCCAGAAACACACAAGAATTCCTTCAAAGTGGAAAATAAAGGAGGAAAAAAAAATCAGCCACAGGGATCAGGCACAGTAAAGCAGGGCCCTGGGGGAATATTAATCAGTGCCCGAGTCTTGGGACTGCACAGAGCCCGCTTCCCTGAGGTCTGTTTACCTGAAAGGGCTCTGGTGGGTCCTGTGGAGACTTTGGCTTCATTTCCATGGCAGTTCAGGGAATGTCCTGCGACTGTGTCTCCAGGGGTGGGCTCAGTGATGCTGACATGCCTCTTAATTACTGGTATTTTTATAAAAGGAGAATCTGCTCTTTCTAACTGTAAGATTTGGTGTTTAGATCTGAAACCTAGCCCAGAAAGGAGGATGGCAGCTGATGATTTTTGAAAATCCTGGTGTCTGTTGACAACTGGTAGAAAACCCTCATAGGCTTGTATTTATAATTGCATCTGGTTAAAGTAACAGTTACTGACTTCGGGACAGGGACTCAGTGTGGACAGGAGACCTGCTGAGGCCTGCCCATGCATGCTCACCTAGCCCTGCTGACGGCTTCGACAGGGACTGCTGTGGTTTGTCCCCCTTTTAATGCACTGGCAGCCTACTCTGTATTGATCTGATGATGGGTCGGGGATGTTGGGGTTCCAGTTCTCAGGACCTAACTGGACTGTGGCTAAGGGAAGATCTAGGTTTTAGGGGACCTTGAAGTTTATAAAATTTGGAGAGTCCTCTTTAATTAAAAAAACAAAACAAGAACTTTGAATTCAAGACTGGATGCAGGGCCTCTAAAGGGGTCCGTGTAGTGAAAGGCCTCCAGGCTTAAGCTTCCCAACCTGCATGGTCACTGTACTGGAGACCACAGTTAGATCTGTGCCCTACGGTGCAGCACTCCGCCTAAGTACCTCTGTAGTTTTTTGACAAATCATTTCTTCTTTCTAGACTTCAGATACTCATCTGTAACAGGGTCTGGGTTATTCCTGATCCTCCCAGCTCTTGATGCTGAATTTAACCCATTTAATGGCTTCTAGTGAGCAGCAAAGCAAATTGAAAGAGTTCAAGTTTAGTGAAGTTCAAGGTAGGACAGGATTTTCCTTGGTGAAATGCATGGGTTGAGTGAGTTGCCCTCTGAGATGGTCTTCCGGTTCTAACGTATGTAAAGGTTTGTGTTTCTGCCTGCATCTTTCTCTGCCTTCTGGGCCAATGTCCTCTCTGCATGCATGTGCCCTCCCTGGAAGCTGTGGGTTTCAAACACAAAGCAGCTTTTCTGCATGGGGGGACACTGGGCTGACAGCCTTGTGTGTTTAGTTTCTCTGGAACGCTATTTCAGCAAACACCCAAGTGTGCCTTTAAATCCTATGTCAATATAGGCAGCAGCCCAAGTTAGACAACAAGGAACCCACTGATGGAAAGGTGTCAGGGACTCAAGAACCAGGAAGTAGAGGCCAATCATGCCTCTTCCCCTTAGCTCTGTCCCAGTCCGGAAGTTCAAAACTTTCTGCCAAATGTCTGAAGAGCTGGAGCCTAAGAATAAGCACAGTTTTGAAATGAGTTGCAGTGCAAACTAACCTCATTTAAGAGTTGGCCATGTCTCAACTTTCTCATCTGTGAAATGGGAAGGTTGGCTTTATAGCTTTGTGGCCCCATTCAACTCTTTTATGCAGCCTATGAATCTGGCTTTCAGCTGCCTCTAGACCTTAAAGAGGTTAAAACTAAGCAAAGCTTCTGTCTCCATTTGAACTTAGAATCAGGCTCTGCATGGAGCTTGGGCAGGAGTGGATTCAGAGGAAGCATCCTGTCACCTTCTGGAAAGATCACAGGACAGAAGGTGAAGGCGGACTTACAGTGTAGAAATTGAGAGACAACTGGCTTTCAAACGTGCCCATGCTCCCGTTCTTCACATGCACCGTGGCCACTCTGAAAAGGGGAGAGAATTTTGCATAAGGACTGAAACACGTCCGTTTGATAGGGACTGCAGCTCACCCGCAGGCAGCCGGCCCTCCACTCCGCGGGGCAGCTACCTCTGGTCGAAGGCAGCCTGGTTCACCAGGTAGGTGGAGTGGTAGGTGCAGGAGAAGGAGTAGTTCACAGGCTGGTTCTTCACGATCACTGTGCTGTCGTTGGAAACGATGTGGCTGTAGAAGTGGTAGATGGGGGGCTTGTACTGGGGGGAGGAAGCACAAAGGTATTTAGCTGGCCTTGTGCTCCTAGGAGAGGAATCTGAATTCTGGGGAAGCAGTGAAGATGGCTTGGAAAAAAGCCCAGTGGGAAGACAAGAATGTTTGCCACTGACAGTACAGTTCACTCCTTTTGTCTGTGGGTGAGCTGATTTTGTTTTAAGGAGTTCTTGAGTCCCTTTAACTACAATGATTTAAAATAATGGAGGTGGATATCAAAGAGATTGAGGGAGGGCGGAGGAGAATAGGGTTACGGGACATAAAAAGAAATAAGGTCTGTCATGTACCCAACTTCCCATCATGGGTTAATCATTATGTACGCAAGCATAACACAAATACTTAATGCACTAATCACAATACAATTTTAAAATCATAAACTCATTGGGCTTCAACCAAAAATAACTAACTTAAAATTTCTCTTTCCCAGCATCAACCTTTTATGCATTTCCCCCGTCTGAGGACCCTAGATGAATGACTTCACCCACCTCCCGAATCTAAAGCATTACTGTACGGTTCTTTACTTTTTCCTCTTTCTACTATAACTACCATTTCTAAAATTCTCTCCACTGGCATTTGAGACTTTGAAATCACAGACTGGAAGGGATCTGGGATTCCAATCACAGATTGGAAGGGAGATGACTTCTAGTGCACTTTGCTGGGATGCATTCAAGGACATGATACTTGGCTAATCACACACGTGGGGCTGTCCATGAGATCTCTGAATCTCTTGTTGCTTTTTATGTCCTCTAACCCTACCTCCTCCTCCCCTCCCTCAGAAAAGTGGGCCCTAGAAGTTCTTGCTCACATCTTCTGGTGTCGAGGCACAGTGAGAGGGTCAGAGGACCTGGCCTCCTTATCTCACTGTGTCGCTTCTGGTTTTGTGGGCCTCAGCTAATGACTTCATGGGAGGTCTGGATACTTGGCAAGAGGATAACTGGGTTTCCTTAGGGTTCCATGATTCTTTGTCCTGGATTCTGCATATGACCTAGTTAAGGATTGTGTTAGATTCTGGTCACTCCTTTAAAATACTCTTCCAAATGCACTTAATATTGTTTCTAGGTTCTGGGAACAGAGCAATCCAGGAAAAATGATGGTTTAGGAGAATAAGCTCTGAATTAAAAATGACTTAGAGGTGACCTTGTTGGCTCTGTTCACAGAAGGGGACCTTGTTGGCTCTGGCAGCAAATTAGAAGCATAAAAATCAAGCCAGAGGAGTCACTAAACTAGGTAGATTTTAATGAGGAAATCCTGAATCCTCCTAAGGACAGAGAGCAAACATGGCCCTCTTGGGCCCAGTCGCCTTACCTTAAGCAGCTCAGCATTCTGTGGCTCCGCCTTACCTCGGACTGGGTTCCACAGTAGGACTTGTTTTTAGGTGATAAGTCTGGGATGACAAATTGGTAGTAACCGCCTTCATGGATCCCATTGTAGCACAGCCCCCCGAGGGCCAGCTGGTGCACTTCCCATCCGTAGGGACACTCCGGGATTTTGGTGATGATAGTTTTGGGATAACAAAACACGAGAATGACATCTGGAAGTGCACACACATGGTTTAAATCCAATAGACTCCTCACATCAGCCTATGTGCAGAGTTGCAAGTCCCACCTGTGCCTGGAAAAATCACTTCCCTGCTCTTCTTCCCCAGCTATAAAGAGCTGGGCAAGGTGCCACCCTCCTTGTAATCCTAGTACTCGGGAGGCTGAGACAGAAGGATTGTTGTGAGTTCGAGACCAGCCTGGCTACAAAGTGAGCTCAAGGCCAGCCTGAACTGCACAGTGAGACACTGTCTCAAAAAGATAAGATAAAAGAAAAAAAGAATTCTCCCAAATTTCAGCTGCCTAAGTTCTACTTTAATAGCTTATGCTACAGCTGTTTAATAACTGAATATACATTGCATATATATTTAAAATGGCCCATTTTAACTTTCACTTATTTTTTGGGATTGCACTCATGCAATCACAGATTGGATTATATCTCCCTAAGAAAATGAGCACATAAAATTAAAAATGTCCATTTTATACACAATATTGTAAAACATTGGCTTATGACATAGGGCAGAAATTCAATGGTCAAACAGAAAACAAAGTGTAGATGTTTTACATACAAGAGAGGGAGGAGGGGGAATGAGAATTCTTTAGTTTTAACAGAGTTTATCCAGTATTTTTGCTTCCTGTGAGAAAAGCCCATTGGTGTTGTGGTCTTTAATTGCTTTTACTTGGTGATGTTATGTGTTTTTACAACAAAGACCGCAGGAACACCGAACTGCACTCCTTGCGAAGGGAAGCTTTAGGAAAGGTTCTTTGCCAGGAGAGAGGCCCGGCACTGGGCATACCTGCTTTGTTTGGAGTGCATGATCTCGCTGAGGCTTCAGCAAAGATGGCCAGCAGGACAAAGGCCCTCACCACCATTGCTTCTTCGAACCAGGTCTTTGCCAGGTGGCCAAACCAAACCGGCCAAATACGTTCTTTCCAGGGCCCAGTTCTCAATCATTCTAGGTCAGAAATACAAGTGAAAAGTTAAAGTCCAGGGTCAGAACAAAGCAGCACATAGGGTCTTGGGGGATAGTTCCAAGGGAGATTAGTGATGGGGTCCCCCTTGGGGCTTGCTCCTTGTCAGGATGTATGGGTACAAAGTGGGGTTCATACCACTGGGAGCGTGGCTAACACAGGCGGGTGCTCCTGTTCCCAGCTGGTTCATTTTCTCTGGACGGTGGCGCTGCCTCCCAGATGCTCCCCAAATCTCCCAGCCCAGTGCTACCTCGACTTTATATAGCCTGGTGTGTAAAAGAAACCGCTTCCAGATAAGTCACAATGAGTGTGCATTATCCCCTGTGGGGGGAATAAAAGAGGAGCTTGCACAAAAAGCAGCCAAGAAGCTCAGTTACCACCTGAATCTAATTTCTTTTACTTTACAGAATTGGAAAACTTTTTTTTAACTGATTAAACAAGGACTGAAATAAAAAAGTTGAATTTTTACTCCTTGTACAAAAAAATTTTTTTTCTAACTGGAGGCAAACTATTTCTGCACGGGTCCAAGTGTCAGTTTTGTTTGGTTTTATATTTCACTTTCTTTGCTTTACTTCTGATTTCTTATTTTTATATTTAAGTGAACTAAATTTTGAATTTAAGAAGACTCATATCCAGCATTATTATACCCAATAGAAAAAAAGGTTTTATTAATGGAAGCATTGTAAAGGTTATTTGTTGTTAATATTTAAAAAATAAACCCTGATGTGTACAACTTCACCCTGGAACACAGTTTTAAACTGCTCCCTACTAGCGCTCTAAGCTGGGTTACTCTTCCGGAGCAGTGACAGTAGAGAAAGGGACTTAGACTTTCCTGTAAGTCAGTCCTTAGCCACCCAGCTGGACCCCTCTGAAGACAGCAGAGAATGTGCTCTGCCCATAAAGGGTCCAGATAGATCATTGGGAGCACATATAATTTCCTGTGTAAGAAATGCTGGGTGTCTCTCATAAGCAGTATGCCTACACACTATGGCAGAGTTGGTTATTACCTCAAAACCTATTGTTACATTGATGGTATGTTTTACAACGATAGCATTGAAGAACTAGGAAATTCCTTTATGGCAAGCCCTTACAACATCCTCACGATCCAGTTTTCTTCTTCGTAAAATAGAGGCTGTAATCCTGGTCTGACCTCACAGGATAAGGAAGCAAAGTAGGGATGCCAAGCCTCTTGTAAACTGTGAAGTAGTAGTTAAGTAAATACACAGATACATAAGAAAACATAGTTAACAGTTCCTAGAAACACGTATGTGTTCTGAGTTTTTATTCCCCTTAGAAACATCAGGAAGTATCTCACTGTAGACGCAGGATTCTTGTAACATGAGGCATATCTTCATTGCATGATGTGTATACAGTGTATTTTATGGAGCAAAAACAAATGGGCTGAAGGAAAGAGGACAAGGGAATATATTTTTAAGAAATATTTTGACACCAGGATTGGTTTTAGTTTAGCTTGGAGACATCGGCCATAATTTCTACTGTGTTCTTCATAGTTCATTCCTGAATTGAAAAAAGACATGGGAATCTCACATGTGTAGATGCTGAGTTTCTCTTCCCTAAGAGTCAGCTCTAACCCTCTGTGTTTCTTCTCTCCTTTTCATTAAACATTTCTCGAGCCCCTGTAGTATACTAGGTGTTGAACGTGCAAGACACAGGCATCTTAGAAATCATTCCTTTCCTGAAGAACTGGGGAAGGTAATGTGGAGAAAGATGGAAGTCTGGACTGAAATTGTGGAATCAGAGGGAAAGAGGCCGGATGCTTGATGGAGGCAGCGACAAGTAGGCCATGCCAGGTCTTGGAAGCTTAAATCAAGCCAGTTGCATTAAGACAGTGCTTCTGAGTGGGCATAAATTATAACTCATCACTGACAATACAGCATGGCTCTTGCATGTGGGTTGGGATGGGATACTTATTCCCATTCTGAGAAGATTCTTTTCATGTATCTTTCAAATATGTACTTCTTATCAGCCACCTTGGGCCCACACAAGTCAACAGTGTCTTATTACTGCTCACCCAGAAAGGTGGATTAACTCATGAAGAGAGAGGGCTGCAGTGGAGGTTAATGCCCCTCCGTCCTCAGTGGGATTGCCTGAGGGATCTGGAAAGAGGCTGAAAATTGCTCTGGCGTGAGGCTGAGCCTTCAGACTCTGTAGTGTGCCTGGGATTTAAATCCCATCTCGGTCACATACTGACTGTATTCTTGGGTAGTTGCTTAGCTTTTGTGAGCCTAAATTTCCTTCTCTTTTGGAAGGACCTGATAACGTCTATGACATAGTATTACTCAGAATATGAAAAGTGATACGTTTATGTCTTCATAGATATGTCTTATTTCCTCTCATTAGAACTAGGCACCTAGAAAGCCTTTTATTTCTATGCTAAGCTGTACATGAGAAATCAAAAACTCAGAGCCTACTAGGCGTGTATCACTACTATAGGCACAGGTTATTGAAATCAATGCTAGATGCCATCACACTGGAATTAGAGGTCATACTTCTGTCACATTTTAAATTGTGTGATCTTGGACAAGTTAGCTGGACCCTTCCGAGTCTTTAGCTTTCACCTCTATGACTTGGGGCTTCACCCCTCCCGTGCTCATTGCAAGGACATGAAATAATCCCTGTAAATTGCTTAGCCCTGGGGCGGGCACACAGTGAGCCATTCAACCTGACTTCAGAGGTTGGTATCTTTGGGCTGGAAGGACGTGTTGATCGTGTTCCCGTATGAACTCTTGAGTGTGTTTTAATGGTAACCGTTCTCCTTTTAGAAGTTCATCTTAACAAAAGAGTAGGTGCTTTTGATTTTTAGAGAAGCCCGATGGCGATAAGATTCTGAGACAGAGAAAGAGATCTCTCCTACAATTACTTGGAGCGGACATCCAGCGAACAATCAGGTACATGATACTCCTTTCCAGGACAAGCTGAATGGAGTTGGGAAGTAGATTCAACTTTTGTGGCAGGCAAGTCTCTAGATGTTTAATTTGCATAAGAAATAGAATGGGACACAATGTACTTGGACCAAACAGTATTTGATACTTGCTCTGATAAAAAGCAAGAGGTTTCTATTTTTTTTTTTCTGGTAATTACCATTCTGAAGCCCCACTCCGATCCCCTCTCTGTTTTCCAACACTTTTCTTCCTTGTTGAGATGAAGATAGAATGAGGGGCACCCTTGAGAGGTAGAATCCATCAAAAAGCACACTTTTCCTTTAAAACCGATCGGAAGATCTTATCAGTCCCAGGGTTCTGAAAGAGGCCAGTAAAGAGGGTTTTATGGGACTCATCAAAGGTTCCACCTTGTCTGTCACTCATCTCTTTTATGACTTGCCAGAGAAAAGAGAGTACTTGTTCTATTTGAAAGTCCTGAATGATTTGTGAAAGCTGGTCCAAAACCAAAAGCATTGCCATTTGCAAAATTCCAATCAATATTTTCAGTTGTAGTTCAGAAATCATCAATAGGTGTAAGTTGTGATAAAGAATACTAGTGAACTTTTATCAAGGTAAGAGAGGAAATTTGAAAATAAAGCCATTGGGGGCTGGGGATTTAGCTCAGCGGCGTAAGCACCTGCCTTGCAAGCAGGCGGTCGTGAGTTTAATCCCTGGTACTGATAAAAAAAAAAAAAAAAAAAAGAAAAGAAAAGAAAGCCATTAAACGTTCATTAAAGTTTAAAAAGCTGCTATACTAACTTACTTTTAAAGCTCATTGAGTTCATTGAATGCTGAACTTATTAAATAGACTTGATTATTTCCTTTAAGCTCTGAGTGAAGCCTTTTCCACTGGAAGGAGGCTCTGTTTGCCAATTTACAAGTGAGTATGGGTTCCCATCCCAGCTGCCAAGGTTCAAACCTCATAGTATGACCAGGCATTAATTATTTTCCAGGGAAAGTATGCTTCATAAACAACAGCTGAGAACTGAGACGAGCTCCTCTACTGATAGATGGTACAGCAGGAATTCAGAGCCAGGAGCCCTGACCCCACAGCATGGGCTGCAAAGAACTACATCATCTCAGACACACAAATTGGAGTCTTCTCTAGCCAATCTCCAATCAGGAACAATCTCTCCATCTGAAGAGTAGAACCTGCAGTCCTGTCTATTAGCACCCCATTAGCCCCTGTCTTAGCTATCTCTCCTCCACAGTCAGACATAGTGCCAAGAATGAAAAAGTAGCTTCTCCTCAGATCGAGTAAGGACCTTCGTCGTGGCTTATATCTGGATATCTGGATATCTACTCAAAGTCTCATGCTCTCGTAAATGGGGCTTGGAGAGGTGCCTGATCATGGGTTGTGATACTGGAATAGACCGCTGATGGGGTTAGCATAGTTCTGGGTATGGAGATACTTACTGAAGAGGAAAGATCCACACTGGGTGTGGGCGGCATCAACAAACAACAAACAGGCTTGTAGCCTGGGTAGAATAACAAGGGAAAGAAGAGAGAAGATTTTGTGCTTTCTGTCTGCCATGCTGTGGACTGTTTCTCCTCTGCCATGCCACCCCACCTTGAAGCCCATAAAATGTGTACTGCAACCCTACAGCTTGTGGATTAAAATAAACCTTTCTTCCTATAACTTGGTGTTGTTGAGAAAAGTAACCAAGACAAATCTCACTGTCCGTGTAAAACATTGAGGGAAAAGAATTCTGTTCTTGAAACTTCCCAGAAAACCATTCATGTATATTTCATTCAGTAATTCATTAATTCAATTCCATATAACCCAGCTATTCCTCTTCTAGGTGTCTTCTCAAAAGAGTTAAAAACATCACATTGCAGTGATACATGCATATTCATGCTTATAGCAGCACGATTCACAATAGCTAAGTTTTGGAAGCAGCCTCTTTCTATCAACAGATAAATGGGTAAAGCAAATGCGGTATTTGCATACTGTGGAGCATTACTCTGGTATGAAGAAAAACTTGAGTCATTTGTAGGAAAATGAGACCATAGTGTTAAGCGAAAGAGACACAGACTTAAAT